TGATAAGTATTTTATTAAATACAAATTGAACTGAAATTTTAGCATTTATATGTACATGAAAAATAATCAAATTTATAACCAGATCGCCTGCTCCAACCTATGAAAAATAAACATAGGGACAGGACAAGCAAGCTCCTTCCCACTGAAGACCACCCACGCCCTCAGCAATAGCTTGAGAAATTAGATGATCCTGATATCATGCCCACTAGATTAATGAAGTGGGGCATAGTCACCCAGAGGAATTGGGATTGTGTTCTGGGATTGCATCTGTCAAAGTTGTTCCCCACTTAGGCACTCTGCAAAACAGCTTCAAAACCTTGTCTGGCACTGGTTATAAAAAAAAAAAAAAAAAAAAAAAAAAAAAACATTTCCCCCTAAATCAACCATCAAGTGCGTTTTGATGCCTAAAAGCCAGGGGTGAACACTTGAAATGACCTCCATAAGTACCCTTAGTTCTTTTGCCCTTAAAGAGCTTGAAAAATAAAAGAGAAAAACAAACTGCAGTCTCTGGTAGCTGACCCCTCAGTCAGAGGCATGCAGATACATACAGACCTTCGAGGACACAAGAATCAAATCCTCACCTAAGTATTTTTTATTACAAAACAAAAGATAAACTTGCAAAAGCATACTTGGTTGTTAGATGTTATGGAGCAACTAAGGAAAACAAACACAGCAGTTCAAACCAAACCGCAAAATAAAGAAAAATTACCCTGAAAGCGACTGAATTCACTTTTCCCTTTGCTTGCTTTTAATTTTCTTTGTTCAGTCCACTCCTATGTCCTGAATTCTGGGGGGGCATGGTGGTCCTGCCTGGGTTGAAATTATTCAGTGTGTCTTAACTTCTGGTTTCTCTCTCCCACACAAAGAAAGCAGGCAGGAAACCTATATCCAATTCATATATCAACCCTGTACCTTGATTGGTTCTCCCATCCCCCAGGCTGACACCAAGTTCTGGTTAGCACTCCTCCTGTTCATGACAGCATCTCTCTCATGAAAAACTTCCTAGCATTATTCCCTCCCTTTTTATTTATGCTGCTGTTACCTTGAGTTTATAGCAGCAATTTATGTTGAGATAACTCTTTGCTACAGTATATTTTCATCTCAAGTTTGGGTTACATTTTGAAGATTTTGGCTAGGACATGTAAAAATGGGCTCATATTGCCAAATAGATTTTTCTTGACCAGCTTAACATGCATTGTTTTTGTTGTATAATGGGAATTTTAGTTTTTAACACTAGCTGAAAAGTCAACACTTAGCACAAGCTATTGTATATGTGGAGTTAAGTACCTTTCCACAAGAATTTTTAGATTATGGCTTTGAATCCTTATAAATCTTTAAAGAAATTTAGGTGCATCTAGTATTTTAGAAAATTTCAGCCTTTGTTAGCCCATCAGGATTCAATACTACTGAATAAATTGAGATTCCAGTATTTGTTTACAAGAATAATCTGTCTTTCATAGATTTTTAAAAGTGCAGGTTGAGTTGAAATGTGCATAGCCTCTTGCTGATTTGAATCCAGTTTGCCTGCTGCTTACGTGAAGTAAATTGAATACATCCACTCATGGTAGACCTCTTCATGCAATTGCCAGTCTTTTATTCACAGTTTTGGTACTTCAGCTAACTTAATCAGCATGGAAGCTGAACAGAACTCTCAGCCCTAGATGTTTTAGGACAGGACTGGTTATTTTGTTGGAGCTCGGAAGCATCCACTGACCTCAGCTAATCCAGTATAAACTTTTTTATTAATGTTAATTTTTATCCTATCTATACATGTTATGAAACAGAAGAACACATTCCCCAGATACATTCTTGTTGTATTAATGTTCGAGATGTAGGTGTTTTGTCATAATGCCTCAGACCTGTCTTTGTCAATTACATCTAAAATGTAAAATATCATGGTATCAAAAATATAAGAAATAAAATGAAAGTAACCAAGTTTATTCTTTGATACCCACATTGATAACTATTTTATTGAACAATCCTTTCGGTGAAGAATGTACAATTGTACTGTTGACATTAAATTCTTGCTCTCTCCAGAATATTGAATTAAATTGAGCTCATTGTTTAAATTGGGAACCACTTGTAACTGTAGAAGTACATTTTAATTTAACTTTTCAGTTTTTTCCAAATAAATGAGAGGACCATTCAAGTGCCGTAGTGTTATTGATAGGCAAGCGAACAGTCTCTGAATTTGACCTACTGCTCTCTAGGCTAAAGGGGGATGGAGAACATTGCGAAGTATCTCTTGGGGGAGAGGAGATGAGAGCAACAGAAGTGAATCTAACTTAAGGAGTAGGGAGGGGGTGTGACCCAGCTATTCTCTGCTCTTGTCCCTGCTCTAGCCATGGCCCCAGCTCCCGACTCTGCATCCATCACTGCCCCTGACCACGACTGAACACTGAGCCCCACCAACAGCGTTGGCCCCTGACTGTGGCTCCACCCACATTCCTATCCACAGACTTAACCAGCTGTATTCTGGTTGCGTTCTCCCATCTGTTCCACAGGGGCCATGCCACCTGAACCCTCCTGCTCCTGATTCCAGTGGGGGTAGGGTGGGTTTAGACAGGAATAAGGGGAGCTGTGACCCTAAAGAGTTTAGGATCCCCATCTTAAATTATAGGCATATCTTTGACACATTCTGAATGGGGATGTATAAAAACCCATTTCATTAGTTAACTGGTTAAATGTTGTGTTTAACTGATTAACCAATTAAATGGGGTGAGCAGGGGGTTGGGTTGGAGCCCCCCACCATGGATGGATGTTGCTCTGGGTGAGCTAGCATGCTCCTCCTGCTGGTGGCATGCCTGGACATGTCCACTTCAGAAAAGGCTTATCTGGATGGGCTGGAGCACCCCCTGTGGCATGCTCTCCGGGGGTGGAGTAGCCCCCTGCCTACAGTGGCGGTTAACTGTAACCAGTAAGCCTAATGCATTAAGGTGATGTTGAATGGTTAAACATTCACTTCCCTAGGTTTGAATGGAGATCAGGTCCTTGGAAAACTGTTGCACCAAGAAATTTATTTGTATAGATAAAAAAGGGCTTCCTTTTCAGCTTGTGTTTTTGATGGCTCATTCCAAATTTAGGAACAGACATATTAGGTCAAACCAAAGTTCCCTCTAGCCCTGTACCCTTTCTTCTTCTGTGGCTAATGCCAGAGTTAATGAATAGAAATCATCAAGCTATCCATCCCCCATCGCCCATTTCCAGCTTGGGCAAGCAGAGGCTAGGGACACCATCCCTGCCCAATAGCCATTGCTGGAACTATCCTCCATGAATTAATCTAGTTCTTTTGAACCCCTCACAATGTCCACTGGCAAAAGAGTTCTACAGGTTGACTATGTGGTGTGCAAAGAAATATTTTCATTAGTTTTAAACCTGCTGCCTACTAATTTCATTTGGTGACCCTTACTACTTACGTTATAAAAAGGAGTAAATATTTATTTACTTTTTTCACATCTGTCATGATTGTATAGACTTTGTATTACTCCCTCCCCCAGTCTATTTTCCAAGCTGAGAAGATCCAGTCTTATTAATCATTTTTCATATGGAAGCGGTTCCATACCCCTAACTTTTATTTTTTTCTGAATCTTTTCCAATTCCAATACATTTTTGAAAATTTGGTGACCACAAAGGCTGATTTATTACATGAAGAGTTGTAATCTCAGGGGTTAGGATGCTGGAAAAATGTGTGCTGAACAAAGGTTCACTGCTTCATGGGACACATTCTGGAGATTCAAAACACTTCAAATGTTTTCACAACAACCTGTACTGGAAATTTGAGGTTGTTTCACAGGAGTGATGGAAGGGTTAGGACTATCCAATAAATTATCTAATAGTGCATCCTGATGGTAGGCAACATTTAAGAAGTTTCAGAGTATTTATATTATTTAAGTCTTTTGGTTTGAAGAATGGTGGGTGGCATTAATAAATTCCTGCCATAATAAAATTAGGAAAGAATGCATGAGAATATAGTTTAGGGAGACTGCCAACTTTTAGAGCCCTGGGGGAAAATTTGGAGTTTTCATACAACAGAACTGCTTTCCCCGGACAGTCTGAAATGCTAGACAAAGCTGTGGTTTGTGTCTGAAGTTTCCCATCACCACCACTAACAAGCTCATCTCTTTCCACGATTGTAACTTCTATGATGGTTTTACCAGGCATAGAAAAACAAATGAAAAATGAATTTTGTATTATCCATATTATGACATAATGACAGTTGGTGGTCTCCCTGGTTGAGGGACCTAGGCTTGGAATAAACAAGTGTATTTCTGAATGTTGTGTGTGAAGATTTTTGGTAATGCTATGTAAGGAAGTTTGCTTTTTTCTTCTTTTAGTCAATACTGTGGCTTCTGTCTTATCCGAAGAAATAACTTGAAAATTATTTTATAAAATATAAAATGGAACATTTTAGAATTGATAGACTTGGAGTTCATGCTGCAGTTAACTCTTCTGCAAGATTAAGAAACCTATGGCCCACATTTTATATAAATGTGCAAGAATATTTCAGTTTCTAGTCTCCAGAATTTTCTTTAAAGCCTTGCATCATTAAAGTGAACAATATCCTATTGCTGCTGTTAAAGAACATATGCAGTGACTAGTGCACTCATTAATTTTACTTCCAGTAAGTTATTTACAAAGTGCACTCAGGACTGTTTGAGGCACATATGAGCTGTACATTTAGAGAGAGTAGTCTGAAACGCTACGTGAAAATCAAAGTGGGTATAATTAATTTTGGTCAAGGGGAGTCCTATTTTTGAAATAATGAGTGATGGGATGGATCACTGGATTACCCATTCTATTCATTTTCTCTGGAGTACTTGGCATTGGCCACTATTATAAGACCAGATACTAGCCTAAAGAGACCTTTGTTCTGACCCAGTATGGCTGTTCTTTTGTTAAGTTTGAGAAGTGCTGTGGAAAACAGAGCATAACTTTTTTTAGGGATCTAATGCTCACTGCTTAAAAGAATGAAATTACAAGACCCTAATGCTGTTTTTCAGACTTAAGCCTTTGGATATTGAGTTTATGAAGCGCCTGCATGAAAAAGTGAATATCATTCCACTTATTGCCAAAGCAGACACACTTACACCTGAGGAATGCCAACAGTTTAAAAAACAGGTGAGTCGAAAGATTTATATGTTTACAGTATAGCCTGACTTAATGCTTTGGTTTCCATGCAGCTAATGAAGTTTAATTGTTCAAATACTTAAGAGTAAACTCTGAAGCAGTATCTCAGATGAAAAACTCTAACATATATCACTAATTTTTAATATATTGGTGGAGTGATCTTCTTAAGGGGGAGCTGTTAGAAGTGTTGTGGGATTCTTGATGAGTGAAATATTTCCACTGAATTTGTATCTTTAACAATAGAAGCAAAAAAGGGAGTTTTTGAAGTTGAATTATAAAACAAAGTTAAATAATACTTGTTTTTAACATTCTCCTTTGTTGTTTGGAAATGTTAGAAATTAAGAGCATGAAGCCATCAAGACGAAAGAAGAGCAAGTAGCTAGCTAAAGCATTATGCATGACACGTAATTATCAGCTGCTTATCAGAGCTCCAGTATTTAAATTTAAAGCTAGAGGTACAGTTGTAATATAGGTGTGGCTGCAGAATTGTTCCTGTGTACTAGATTTGTAGGGTGCACTTCTCGATGGCTACAGAGTGAATCTCAAAGACGTGATTTGTTCTTTTGGAGGGAGTATGTGGTAAGGATGTTAAATTTAGATTTATCAACTAATCGAATAGTCAATGTAATTTGTTTTGATTAGTCGATAGGAATGCCTCCACCATTGAAATGTAGTAAGAGCCGTGCCAGCTCTTGCTACATTTCAAAGGTCGAAGTGCTGAGTGGAGCACAGCCAGTGGGGGACCCGAGCAGTCCCCCCACTGGCCCCACACTCTCTGCTTTTGAAATGTACAATAGCCCCAAGAGGTCTCTTGTACATTTTAAAAGCAAAGCGCTGCCTGGAGCACAAGGCCAAGTCAGGAACTGCATCCTCTTGCTACATTTCAAAGGCAGAAGCGCTGCTAGTTCCCGCTGCACCCTGCTCCTTCTCCCCACAGAGACTGTGCTGGGAGAACCGGCTTTACAGTTGAAAGAGGTTTGATCTGTATTATCTAGTGCAAGATTTCAGAGGATCCAGTTTCTGAAAAACAATTCTAATAAAATTAGGGGGCTGTGCCCCGTGCTCATTGCACTCCCCAATCCCCCTGTAGTGAAGGGTGGGCAACCCCAGCTCTCCCCCCGGCCTCTGGAGAGGGCCAGGCTGCAGCTGCCCCAGCCAGGGCACCTTCTCACTCCCTCCCCCCTTCCTCCAGCCAAGGCCCCTTCTCTCCCTTGCCACCCTCCACTGCAGCAGCAGTTTTTAAAACACTAGCAGCTGCCCTCCACATGGTGACTACCAGAGCTTCAGCCAGAAGCTGTGACACAGCTCAGGGGGCCAGGGTGCTCCAGTCCCATTCCCCCACATCTCCGGTGCTGATCCTGCCGCAGCCCCACCCCTGCATGAATCCCACCTCTGGCACCCCATCAGCTATTTTTCTGATGGAGGCAGTAGCTCAGAGGGCCTAGGGGTACAGGTCTAGACATGGGAGGATGGGGGGCACTTACTTGCCTTCAGGCCTTCCTCTGCTCCCATTAGGCAGAATCTGGCCAGTGGGAGCACAGGGAAAGGCTCCAGACGGTATGCTCTCACGCTGCTGTTACCCCAGCCCGGGAAGGGGAGCATGTCTTCTCCGTGCTGGGAGACTCAGAGCTTTCTCTCCCGTCCCCCCACAGTGATTTGTCAGGGCTCTGGCACAGGGAGCTGACAACAGCTGGTTGCTAAAGGAGAGCTGGGGCTGAGCCAGGGGGCAGTGGCAGCAGCTCCTTGCTGCACTTGCAGCCCCAATGCTTTGGGACCCTGAGCCACTGTCTCCAGCTGCTCCGGCCAGGAGCACTTGGGCTGCTAGTGCTCTAGCCTCAAACCCTGCTCCCCTCCCGCAAGAGTAGCATGCCAGCAGCGGCTTCCTGCGTGAGAGAGGAGGAAACCCCGAGGCTCCTCAAGGAAGCAGGTGCCCAGGCCATGTGGGGCCTCTGGTGGGTGCAAGCTGGCAGGGCGGGCCCTATGCTGCCTTAGTGCTGTAGAGCACTGCCTTGGCCTGGTCCCAGAACATCCACTTGCTGGCTCGAGGCCATTCACCCTGGACAGATCCTCTCCCCCGGCAGCTGGAGAGGTAGGAGTGGGAAAGCGGCTGAGAGCAGACGGACAGCAGGATGAAAACTTTTTTCCTGCAGGACAGAGTAATGCATTGTCACTTGTGTTGTCCTGCAGGAAAATTTTTCTTTAATATATAGTAAGGATAAGTTAGGTAGACAGCATGGTGAAAAATTGGAGTTTGGGATTACAAAGCTAATAGCATTCCCAGTTTCCATAGGAGAACACATTTGAATACCATTTGTGGCATTTCTGTGATGTAGAACTTAATGTGGAAGGGTAGCAGAATATTGCTGTTTATGGTTAGGTATGCAATTTGTTTAATTGTTAGTATATTTGTTCTAAAGCTGTAAAACATTATATCCCCTAGCCGTAGCATGTCTGTTGTAAAATGCTGTAGTACTTTCTTATTCCAAAATTCTGGACAACTGAAATCAGATTTATTTTAAAAATTGCAAATAAGTAATTTAGAAATTAGCATGGTGAATGTCTAATTTTAAGATACTCAACTGCTCTTACATTTTCACTAGCATTTTAATTTTTGTTCTCTGCTGCTGGAGTTAGTCCATCAATCACAAATTCTGCTGAGAGGGCAAGAGAAGTGATACTGCTTCAAGCAGTGCCAATTTAGCTGAGCTGGAGGTGAACAGAAGTTGCAGTGACAACAGTAACTACGATAGGAACTTGAATTATTTAATCATGCTTGAAAATCATTCAAAGTTTTGTGAGGCAAGTTTTACTGAAAAAACAAGTTATTTGCATTGTGTAATAAATAGAAAATTTCAAAGTTACTTCAGACAGATTTTCAAAAATTAGATTATTGGGGGATATACTAAATGTATTACTCTTTAATACCCAATAGCAGTCATCTTATGAACTGGCCTTTTGAGGCATTAAGTTCACGTTAGAAAGCAGAGAATTCCCCAGTATCAAATGAAGGAGGAAGAATGATCAAGTGGCAGCAAGTAAACAATGCATGCTTCAGTAATATTATCACAATTGGAATATGTGTTAGTAACTTAATGTTTTTACTTTTAGATTATGAAAGAAATCCAAGAGCACAAAATTAAAATATATGAATTTCCAGAAACAGATGATGAAGAAGAAAATAAGCTGGTTAAAAAGATAAAGGTAAATGTTTTTTGCTTTTTTCAACACACTGTTCACCACTCTCCTTTCATTATTAGAGGAGAGAGAAGATCTTGCCCTTTTTGAGTAGTAGTGTGTAGAAATTTTATCTTTGTATCCCATCCTGAGGTGACATGTTCTCAGACAACATGGGGATAGTTGAAAGTCACCATTGTTTATTAGGTTTCCTCTGTGTAACCTCTCTAATTTCCCTGAGTATTTCAGGCAACATCACCATCACACTCAGGTGGTTGATAGTATATTCCTACCACTACACTCATTATTAAACCATAGAAATTCTATGATGCTGTTGGATTCATAAACTGCCACTCCTTAACCTACTCTGCTATTCCTGTCCATTCCTGTATATTTTGTAGCCTGGTATTACTACATCCCATGGATTATCATCATCAGACCAATTTTGTCGCCTGTTACATCAGTATTCCCATTTCATATCAGGCACTCAAGTTCACCCATCTTAACATGTAGGCTTCAACCATTTGATTACAAACACTTATAAAACGTGTCAGTATTGTCTGCCTTCATGTAATGTGATGGAATGGGACTTTTGTTTGTTTCTCTTCAGGTCCTGTCGGTAATTTACCAAATTATATCCTCCCCACTTTATTAGAATATAGAGCATCAATACCTTTTAATAAATCCTATCCTGTAAGGTAGGGGTGTGAAGGTTTGATCAGTGGGGCTGGAACAGCTCCCTGCCTGCCACGGGCAGTGGGCTGTCCCAGCCCTGTAGGGGAGCCCACCACCCCAGAGCAGCCTCTATCCTTGGTGGGCCTGGGTGCCCCATAGGCAGGGGTTGCTCCAGCATTCTGCGAGGCACCCCGTTGACCCCCTCCTTAATTGATTAACCAATTAAACTGGATTTTACATCCCTTCTCCAGGGTGTGTCTGTCAGATCCATGTGGTGCTCTGCACCTGTCACTTTAAACCAAAGGCAGTGGGGAAAAACTTCTGTGACCTTTTCAGTTTTACATGTCAGCAGTCTGTTTCTGTGTTTACGTATACTCCATATATCCTGTATCAGCAGCTCCTTTCTCAAAAGGTTCTCTAGTTTCTAATAAACCTTAAGTCGTCCTCTGAACACCATCTCATGTACTCATTGAGACTGCTGTAGTTCAGACTAACTAATGCTACCAAAGAGGTCCTGGACTTGAATAGCTTATCTAGCAACCCATGGCTGTGTCTGCACTAGGGAGCTTATAGCAACATAGCTGTACTGATGCAGTGCACCATTGTAAGATCTCTCATGTAGTCATTCTATGCTGAGAGAAGAGAGCCCTTCTGTCAACATTATTGATCCACCTCAGTGGATTGCAGTAGCTGACTGCAGAAGCACTCCTGTTGACATACCACTGTGCTCACTATTGCTTATGCCAGCATAATTTGTTACTCAGAATGGTGGAATAGTCATGCCCCTGAGCCACATGTTTTGCTGATTTAAGTGATAGGGCATTTCCCTAAGTCATTGGTACTTACATCTACTACAGGGATTCTCAAACTGTGGTCCCACCAGAGATCCACAGCAACCTTCCAGGTGGTCCGCGGCTTGAGCTCAGCTCCCCCTTCCATCCTCCCTCCCTCTCCCCACAGCAAGTAAGTGTCTCCACCCATGACCAGACCCCACATCCCTTCCATGCTCCTGTACTGCCCCCTGCCAACACCCTGCACCCCCATCCTGTTCCTGAACACTCCCCCCAGCCAGATACCACATCTCTACCCTGCTCCTTCACCCTCCCTTGCTTCTGCACCTTCCACCCTGGTGAGACATCCTCCCCCCAGTCTGCTGCTGCACCCTCCCTCCTGGCCACACACTGCTCCCTCCCTAGCTCTTGTCTCCTCCCCTCTGGCCAGACACCCTCCTTCCAGCCTGCTCCTGCACCCCACCTCCTGCCCAGATCCTGCTCTCACCTTTATCCTACTCGCTGTCATCCCTGTCTTGCACACAGAACCCCTCATTTTTGTCCCCAGCCTGGAGGGGGGAGGAGTCCATAAAATCCACTAACCCCGAAACCCCAGAAGAGTAAATCCAGCCCATGGGAAGCCCTGCACCTCAGTCCTCCCTGTCCCTCCCCCTTCCGCATGGAGCTGCAATGCCAGAGGAGTGAGCTGCCTTGGGGGGCACATCAGTGAGAATTGGGGAGGGGAGGGGTTGCTGCTCACTTGTGTGGTTCCCAGCTCATTTTTCTGTGGGTCAGTGGCCTCCTATCCAAAAAAATTTCTCCGCCCCTGTCATACATAAAGAAAACATTGAAACCTTTTGTATTGGACATAGATTAATATTTTACTGTATTTAAAATGAAGTTTGATTAAGCACTTTGATTTCTCATATTAGTTTATCTGTTTAGTCATAGAACACTAGAACTGGAAGGGACCTTGAGAGGTCATCGAGTCCAGTCCCCTGCTCTCATGGCAGGACCCAGTACTGGCTAGACCATCCCTGATAGATGTCTATGTAACCTACTCTTAAATCTCTCCAGAGATGGAGATTCTACAACCTCCTTAGTCATCTTATTCCAGTGTTTAACCACCCTGACAGTTAGGAACTTTTTTCCTAATGTCCAATCTAAACCTCCCTTGCTGCAGTTGAAGCCCATTGCTTCTTGTCCTATCCTCAGAGGCCAAGGAGAACAATTTTTCTTCCTCCTGTGACACCCTTTTAGATACTTGAAAACTGCTATCATGTCCCCTCTGTCTTCTCCTTTCCAGTCTAAACAAGCCCAGTTCTTCCAGTCTTCCTTCATAGATCACATCTTCTAGACCTTTAATCTAGGCTGTTTAATAATATTTCCTTTCTTACAGGTTAAATTAAACTATTCTCCCTAGCTGCAGCACTAGCAAAATGGCTCATGCGTAATTATGTAATTAATGACTAGTTTCCATGAGCATCTGGTGGTCCATAGAAAGGGTTGCATTGAGCCAGGTGGGCCATGGGCCAAAAAGTTTGAGAACTACTGATCTACTACAGCCACTAGCTTCTCGCCAGCACTGCACATAAGTTTATCTGTCTGTCTCAAGATCTTCAGCATGGGTCTCAAACTCTCGGCCTACGAGTCATTTACGGCTGGAGCATGTTTGCAATCCAGCCCAGGAGTCCCTGTGCCCAGGAGGAGGGGAAGGGGTATTTCCATATCTTTCCCCAAAACCTGGTTCCTCCTTCCCCCATTTCACCTCTTCTCCCAAGCTCCCTTCACTGCAGGATGCAGCCTTGGGAATTACTGAGGGGAGGGGCTGGCGCAGGGTGGCAGCACAGGTAGGGCCCCCCTGCACTCACTGCAGCAGTGGGAGCTGTGGGGAAACAGAGTGCATTCACCGCACTCACTGTGCTTTCCTGCAGTTCCTGCTGCCACAGTGAGTGTAGGGGAGCCCAACCATTCCTGTAGCCATATACCAGACCCTGCCAGTAATTCCCAAGGCTGCATCCCTTTGGGGTGAGGGTAGAAAGAAGTGGGACTTCCAACGGAGGACTGGAGGGAGAGATTCTTCCCCTGGATACAGAGGTTCCCAGGTCAGATGGCAAAAAAAATACTTGGGCTGTGGATGATCTACAGTCTTCCCTCTCATTAGGCAGTTGACCATGCACTCCTAATGATCAAATCCCTCCTCACTATTGCCTGTCCCCAGATGGGTATCCTCAGTGTGAGAGGATGCCATGGCATCTTCTGGAAGGAGGTTACAACTATGGGATCATTTCCCTTCATTCCTGATTGATGATGTTCTTCAAGACTTTCCTCCAACAGAACAAAGGCTGTCAACTGTGTACCAGTTTTTCTTTTAAGTGCCTCTAGTTCAGTCACTTTTGTCAGTCCCTTTTACTTAGTTGCTGAGGGCCATCGGTTGCTCACACCAAATGCACAAACATGCCACCAGCCCTCAAAGCAGAAAAAATATAAATGTTGCAGTCAGTGCAATAAACTGGATCCGTAACCCCACTCTGTTGCTTGATTTATGCCTGCATTGTTTTTAATCTTGCAGGGTTTAGTTATTCTTTGTGTATTTATTTTGGATGGGGTGGTTACTGTCCTAATTTAGAGAATGTTTGTTAGGTGTTTCTGGTGCTCTCACTTTGTCTAAACCCTCTTGCAAAAATCCTGTCTTCACTAGCCTATCTGGTCAATTACAAGCTCATTTATTAAACCCCTCTTCTTGAGTTGGACCTGCAACTTTGTCAAGGGATTCTGCCTATAAAAGAATGGCAAGCTAGAGACTTGTTAGAAAGCTCTCACCCTAGGCTCAGCACACAGCCCCAGCAACAGACCCCACTATAAACTTCAATTAAGCAGGTGGCATGGCATAGCAAGCAAGCTCACGATGTAACATAGTTGCTCCTCCTCCATCTGGACAGCTCTCTCACTGACCTCCCCTTCTTGCTGTTCCTGTTCACTAGCTCCTCTGGTTGTTTGTGAACTGGCTTTTAAAAACCCTGTTCTCTCTAAATTAGCCTCACCCATTGTCAAGTAATTCTTAAGGGATTAGTGATGGAAGGACAGCTGGCTAGAGGCTGTAGTAGAGGCTTAGCAGGCCACTGAATGGCTCCCTGAACAACCCACATTATAAACTTCCGTTCTGAAGATGGCAGACAGGCAAGCACACAACAACGAAGTACTGTAACAGACTAGATATTGTCATGAAAGTTGAAAACTCTATGCTGTGTTGAATGGCTTTCTCCAGTATATATCAAGCTTATCTAAGGGTACATCTAAACTACATGCCTCCGTCAACGGAGGCATGTAGATTTGTGTATTCGAAAAAGGGAAATGAAGCCGCGATTTAAATAATCGCGGCTTCATTTAAATTTACATGGCTGCTGTGCTGAGCCGACAAACAGCTGATCAGCTGTTTGTCGGCTCCGGGCGCTAGTCTGGACGCTCCCCTGTCAAAATGAAAGCCTTTTATCGACATCCCCTGTAAACCTCATCCTACGAGGCATAAGGGGGATGTCGATAAAAGGCTTTCAGGTCGGCGCGGCGCATCCAGACTAGTGTGTGGAGCTGACAAACAGCTGATCAGCTGTTTGTCGGCTCAGCGTGGCAGCCATGTAAATTTAAATGAAGCCACGATTGTTTAAATAGCGGCTTCTTTTCCCTTTGCCTATCTGTCTAATCTACATGCCTCCATCAACGGAGGCATGTAGTCTAGACACACCCTAAGAGAATAATGATCAGTTTTATGTTAGAATGAATGACTTTCCCCTTTTTGGAGATAGATTATTCACAAGCTCATTAAAACTAATACTTTGTTTAAAAGTAAATTTTAGAATGACTGCACTAGTCAATATACATTTAATTAACTCTTATGTTACTGCCTATATTCCACATTTTCCCAAGCCATTCCTACTATGGTAATTGTTTCATCCACCTGCTTGATGTAGACTTGTGAATTATGGTGCAATGGCTGCATTCTAGGTTTTTCTGTACCTTGGGCGCAAGGGTTCATGAACCTTATTTGGGATTCCTGAGTGCTACCATAATACAAATAATTACTTTAAAAACATTTCCTGTTGAATGTAGTAACTATCCTGTGCTAAATCCCTTATTTAAAAATGTAAATCAGTGGTCAAGGCCACTTCAGTAATACCTTTGTTTTGAACCAATGTTGTAGAATAATTTAGCTATTTTTAAAAAATAAGGAATAAATTTGGAGTCTAGAGCATAAGTTTTCCACAGTCCGGGATACACTTAGTTATAGAGTTATATAGAAACACCCTCTGATGATTGGTATACTAAAATTGCAATTGGCTGAATAGCTGCAGAAAACTGAAAAGGGCCCCTCACTGTGGCAAGCTCAAACTTTTAAACAATTGAAAACCCTTAGTCCTCCTCTCATAGTGCATTTCATCATATTTTGTTTTCCTCAGTCCATTTTCCTAGCTATATTTCTTTTCTTCCCCAAGGTTTAACAAAGTTATTCTTCCTAGAAAAGATGTAATTTTGTTTTCATTGTGTATTGAACAGATTTGGAATGGGGAAGTCTTAGGATTCTCTCAGGATAAACACAAACCTACACAGGAATTGATCTGGTGATGAGTGTTGCTAGCTTGCGGAGCACTATTTTGGCCCTCTTTAAGACAGCTGCTAACAGGCTGCTCTGGTCTGTTTATCTAAGGACTCTAACCACAGATCCTTTTGATAGATAAACTGGAGAGGACCGTTGTTAGCTTAAGCAGAATAGAGGTGGAGAGAAAAGCTATTAAATTTGAATTCTCCTGCACTAGCCAAGGCAGTCATTTTTATGGCAGTCAGCTCAGAAGTTGTGTACAACAAGATTCAGTCAAACACTAGTAGCCAGTAAAAATAGTGAAGTTTCTGATCATGGTAAAGGATGAGAAATAACCAGTGACCAAAAACCCTGTATTCAGACTAGCTGACAACCATTTGTTAATTAGTAAACGATTTGCATTCTATATGACTTTTAAAATCTCTATTGAGTTATTTTTTGTATCTGATTTACAGACTAATCAGAATACAGGGAATTTCAGATCTGGAAAAAAATCACTCTAAAATAATACAAGCTTCCCTGAACTTCTGGTGAGCTGGATTACAGAATAATAAAGCTCCACTTTTTGTATCAAGTTTATATTTATGCTTTGTTTCAATATGTTTAGGCAGAAGACATATATTGGTATTGAAAAATCATACTACTTTTTATCTTTTAGGACCGTTTACCACTTGCTGTCGTAGGTAGTAATACGATCATTGAAGTCAATGGCAAGAGAGTCCGAGGAAGGCAGTATCCTTGGGGTGTTGCAGAAGGTAAGCTTTTCTTCAGTATTTGTAGCATTCCTAGTAAATGTAAGTGCATGCTTGGGTGACACAAATCTACAATCTTTGCTTCAAACATTTTAACTTCTTAATTTAAAGTATTTGCACAGAAAACTTAATAAAACCTGCAAATTTTCTCTAAAGCCTCGGTTTTCAGCCTCGGAAAAAAATGCAGTCTTGCCAAAATTAAAACATTTTATGAAAGATACGTTTTTTCTTGTGAATAATTTCTTCAAGACCCATGGAGGTTTCTTCCAGTGAATTGTAATTAAACAGCAGTATGTCTTTAATTTCTGTTCATAATTCATTACAGAAACAAAATTATGCTTGATGTTCAGCTGTTTACTAGTACAGGCAGTCCCCGGGTTACGTACAAGATAGGGACTGTAGGTTTGTTCTTAAGTTGAATCTGTATGTAAGTCGGAACTGGCATCCAGATTCAGCCTGTTGAAACTGATCAGAGGCTGATTCCAGGAAGCCTGGGGCAGAGCAACTCTGCCTCGGGCTTCCTGTAGTCAGCCGCTGGTCAGTTTCAGCAGCGTCTGACTTGGGGATGCCTGGGGTTCTTAAGTTGAATCTGTATGTAAGTCGGAACTGGCATCCAGATTCAGCCTGTTGAAACTGATCAGAGGCTGATTCCAGGAAGCCTGGGGCAGAGCAACTCTGCCTCGGGCTTCCTGTAGTCAGCCGCTGGTCAGTTTCAGCAGCGTCTGACTTGGGGATGCCTGGGGTTCTTAAGTTGAATCTGTATGTAAGTCGGAACTGGCATCCAGATTCAGCCTGTTGAAACTGATCAGAGGCTGATTCCAGGAAGCCTGGGGCAGAGCAACTCTGCCTCGGGCTTCCTGTAGTCAGCCGCTGGTCAGTTTCAGCAGCGTCTGACTTGGGGATGCCTGGGGTTCTTAAGTTGAATCTGTATGTAAGTCGGAACTGGCATCCAGATTCAGCCTGTTGAAACTGATCAGAGGCTGATTCCAGGAAGCCTGGGGCAGAGCAACTCTGCCTCGGGCTTCCTGTAGTCAGCCGCTGGTCAGTTTCAGCAGCGTCTGACTTGGGGATGCCTGGGGTTCTTAAGTTGAATCTGTATGTAAGTCGGAACTGGCATCCAGATTCAGCCTGTTGAAACTGATCAGAGGCTGATTCCAGGAAGCCTGGGGCAGAGCAACTCTGCCTCGGGCTTCCTGTAGTCAGCCGCTGGTCAGTTTCAGCAGCGTCTGACTTGGGGATGCCTGGGGTTCTTAAGTTGAATCTGTATGTAAGTCGGAACTGGCATCCAGATTCAGCCTGTTGAAACTGATCAGAGGCTGATTCCAGGAAGCCTGGGGCAGAGCAACTCTGCCTCGGGCTTCCTGTAGTCAGCCGCTGGTCAGTTTCAGCAGCGTCTGACTTGGGGATGCCTGGGGTTCTTAAGTTGAATCTGTATGTAAGTCGGAACTGGCATCCAGATTCAGCCTGTTGAAACTGATCAGAGGCTGATTCCAGGAAGCCTGGGGCAGAGCAACTCTGCCTCGGGCTTCCTGTAGTCAGCCGCTGGTCAGTTTCAGCAGCGTCTGACTTGGGGATGCCTGGGGTTCTTAAGTTGAATCTGTATGTAAGTCGGAACTGGCATCCAGATTCAGCCTGTTGAAACTGATCAGAGGCTGATTCCAGGAAGCCTGGGGCAGAGCAACTCTGCCTCGGGCTTCCTGTAGTCAGCCGCTGGTCAGTTTCAGCAGCGTCTGACTTGGGGATGCCTGGGGTTCTTAAGTTGAATCTGTATGTAAGTCGGAACTGGCATCCAGATTCAGCCTGTTGAAACTGATCAGAGGCTGATTCCAGGAAGCCTGGGGCAGAGCAACTCTGCCTCGGGCTTCCTGTAGTCAGCCGCTGGTCAGTTTCAGCAGCGTCTGACTTGGGGATGCCTGGGGTTCTTAAGTTGAATCTGTATGTAAGTCGGAACTGGCATCCAGATTCAGCCTGTTGAAACTGATCAGAGGCTGATTCCAGGAAGCCTGGGGCAGAGCAACTCTGCCTCGGGCTTCCTGTAGTCAGCCGCTGGTCAGTTTCAGCAGCGTCTGACTTGGGGATGCCTGGGGTTCTTAAGTTGAATCTGTATGTAAGTCGGAACTGGCATCCAGATTCAGCCTGTTGAAACTGATCAGAGGCTGATTCCAGGAAGCCTGGGGCAGAGCAACTCTGCCTCGGGCTTCCTGTAGTCAGCCGCTGGTCAGTTTCAGCAGCGTCTGACTTGGGGATGCCTGGGGTTCTTAAGTTGAATCTGTATGTAAGTCGGAACTGGCATCCAGATTCAGCAGCTGCTGAAACTGACCAGCAGTGGCTGAATCAGGATGCCTGGGGCAGAGCAGCTGGGGTGCTGCCGGGTTGGTCCAACCGGGTGGTCCAGCTGGGGTGCTGCGGGACCAACCGGCAACGCCCCACCTGCTCTACCACAGGCCCGGGGCTTTGCTCCACGTCTCCCTGGTCTGCCGGGGGAGGGGGGGGGCGCGGCCTGGAGCACGCCCGCAGGGGGACAGCTCAAGCGCACCTGGGCTGTCCCGCTGCGGGCGTGCTCCAAAGCTTTGCTCCCCGTCTCCCTGCAGACCAGCAGACCAGGGAGATGGGGAGCAAAGCCGCGGAGCATGCAGGCAGCGGACAGCCCAGATGCGCAGCAGACCAGGGAGACGGGGAGCAAACACCGTTCGTAACTGCGGATCCAACATAAGTCGGATCCGCGTAACTCTGGGACTGCCTGTACTCTCATTTCCATTTCAGTGTTGCAGAAATGCCCATATGGTTTATTATCTAAACTATCAGTTTCCAAGCCTCTTGTTTCCAGAGATTTTCACATTAGGGATGTTTGTTAGATCATCTAGGCTTGAATAAATACAACTTTAAATTCCTGGCCGTTCGTCTTATTTTTGCTAGACTGTTGTTTTTTCCTTAAGCTGTTGACCTTGGAGTTGAGAGTGCTGAAAGTTCATCTTTCATGGATTTCAAAGATGGCATTTGGGTGGTTAAATTAAAATGCGTTCTCCACTATATAAAGTCTAAAGTTTTATGTTTGCTTTTTGTATCTGTAGTAAGTGGAAATATGTATACATTTACTGCTTTTGTATGGACTTGAGGCTAACTGGGTGTTTATAATTATATAATATTATTTGTCTGTTATATACCATTATTACTCTCTGTATTCATGATAAATGTGGTGCACAAAAACCAAAACCAGAGGATTCAATAGCTGCCTTTGCTAAAGGAAGGCTTATTATATATTTGATTAGTATTTGTGTGCACTTACCTGCAGCATATGTTTTGGAGTGACCAGATAGATTGGTTTACATTGTGTTTACCACAATAATTGTCTGATCCATAAATATGATGCAACATTTTTTAAAGCTGCTTAAGTGTGAATCAAGCTGACACAATACTAAACAAAATAGCTCAGCATGGACAAATATGCTAAAGGAAGTGCTGTGGTTCTTTGAAGTGCGTGTCTGACAGGAAATGGGTTTTGGAGAAGAGTATAAACCAGCTGCAGTAGAACATTATAGGGGGAGGTGTTAAGGTTCTTAGTTTAGCAATTTTAAATAGTCAAATTCTTTGCTTTTAAAACTTTTATAATTATCCAATCTGTCACTTGTCTCCTTGATCTGGCCTCATGAGAATATACCACTGTCCCCCATTCTTTCTCTATTCCTCCCACTCTTTTAACTATTTTCAGTCTGGGGGGAGAAATCATTCAGTGTTTTTCACAGTTCTCTGATCCATAAGCAAAGACAACAGGTTGAGGCGTGCATGACCTCAATTTTTCTCAGCCACTGAATATTTAAGTACGTATTAAAGATAAAATGAGACTCTTGATGTCTTGGATCAATCATTATAGGAGTGCAATTTTGTAGAATATTCTTGTGCAGAGAAAGATCTAAGTAAAGTAATGTTTGTGTTCTGGTCTTGGATAATAATGTCTGTCTGATCACAGTGCAAACTGGAACTAACCTAAATCCATTGAGTGCCCATATTCAAGTGGAGATGGAGGAGAGGGGAAGGGGAAGTAACAACTCTGGTCTTATCCAGTGTTTGCAAATTATTCTGGAACCATTAACAGTGACCACTCAGGTCATTATGTAGCTCTGCTGAAATTCCAGTCCTGTTGAAATTCACCCATGGTTTACATCCCATCTATAAACACAGCCTCACCAGATACTAGATTTTGTAAATAGAGCCACACTTCAGATTCACCAGCAAAGAACTACATCTAATTTCCATCTTAGTTGCTTACCAGGCTTATGTACTTGAGAATTGATGATCTGCATCTTGTGAGTTAGAGATCCTCTATATAATGTCTAAATAGTCAGTTTACAGCCCAGAAGAGCACTTTTTTAAATTCACTTAATGAATTTTGGTACATGGTCACGGACCAGCTCCACTCCACCCCACCCCCAGAAGGAGCAGGGTCTGTGGCAGAAGGGGAGGGGCTGGGGACTAGCCTCCCTCCAGAATTGTTTGGGGATGAAGACTGAATTAATAACACAGCAAAGGGTTTGTGGCTCCCAGCTCTGCCGCTAACTTGTTGCCTGGGAGCTGTGCAGGTTGCTGCGGCTATTTAAAGGACTTGCCTCAATCGTGAATTATTTAAATAGGATCCTGCACCTTGAGCCACCACCTGGAAATTCAGTGGCATGAGCCTCTGGTTATAAATAAAGTGGTCAGATGCAGTCTGTGGGCCAGATCCAACTGTTAGGCGGGCCAGATCTGGCCTCTGGGATGCATCTTTCTCACCCCTGGTATACAAGCTTGTGGTTTTCAAACTGTGTAAATTAGTAATAAAGATAAAATCAGCAATTCTAGCATAAAATTTGGTGGGTACTTCTGTGCTTTGAATTGTAATTCTTCATTGGAAATCAAGAGTGTATTGGTGTTTATATGGGATTTTAGTAAATTGGCAAGTTTTTTAAAGGGGATTTGCTATCAATCTATTGTGCTAAATTTGTCTTTTACTGTAGGGTTCTGCCTCACATTACAGTTCCTTTTTATTTAAGATCTTTTGACTGTTTGGGTGAAATTAAAATTTGATTGTCTTTCTAAAGTAAATGTACATAATATACCCAACATTCTAAAACAGGATTTTTCTGATCTTGATAGACTTTGTTCTCAGAAGAGGTGATGTGATGGGTGTGATGGCACCTTGTTTTATGGGTATTGGAGTCTTATTTGGGAGGAAGTAGGCAAATCAGGACACTGGTACTCAAAAAAATTAGTTTAGTAAGCTGTGCAGATTCTCTTGCCCTCTTTCTGGTGAGGTTAACGTACAGTCTTAAAATTCTTCAATTTGTGTGTATACCTTTACAATGTCTTGAAGTTCAGACATTTTAAATTGAAAAATTAACTGTTGTACATGTTAAATTGGCAGAACTCTCCTGGTATCAAATTTGGTGTCACTTCTATTCTAAAATTGACTTTGACATGTTACCATGCAAAAATGCAATCTAAACTTGTAACATATTCTAGATAGTACAGGGTTGAGAGGCTCTTTGCCATTATCTATGTGGATGTATGTTTCAGAACATGATTAAATGTGGTTGTGATTACTACTTTTTACCTTCATAGAGACATTATCAACTTGAAATCTAGTAATTTTTAAAAATATCATTTGAAGTACTATATTTGCCCCCCAAATTCCTATTAATTTATTTTATAATCACATTTTATTCTGAGATCATAAATGTGTTTTTTCTCTGTTGCACTGAGACTTAAACAAGTTGGGAAATTTTGCTACGTAGAGGAAGCTGTACATTAAACAGCCCTTATTTAGCTAGTTTAAGTACACAGATAATTTAGAACATTCTCTCATCTTTCAATTAGTTACCTTAGATGTTGTTTGTAAGAATAGATATGAAAAAAATAAGTGACACCAACTTTAAAATATTTAAATCACCTGTTTCATTTTGAAATTATTTTTCAATTTCTGTCCTGAACTTCTGAAATGTTACATACTGTCCAATAGCTACTGCATTTCACTGGTAGGTTGAGTGATATGTTCTGTATGTCTGTAAAGCTCTTTGTTAAAGTCTGCAGTGGAAAGTATAAAACTCTCTGGAAAAGAAATACAGTGAGTGTGTGTATAAATATATAAAATAAAACATGGAAATATTACTGCTCAAGTATGTTCAAGATTAACTGGTACCCCTAGAAGCCAGACCCACACAACTAGGGCTAGTTGACCTAATGTTTAACCGGTTAACTGATTGGGATTTTACATCCATACCCTTATGTATGACAAAAGTTTTGGTTCTGCTGTCTCAATATATGTTCTACTTTTCTCCTCTCCCTGTATCTACAGTTGAAAATGGTGAACACTGTGACTTCACAATTCTAAGGAACATGTTGATAAGGTAAGTTTATGTGGAAAATTGCATACCTATTATTAAAGGACTTCAGTTGAATATTTGAGAGAGAACGTAAGTTCCCATCTCCTTGTATTATGTATATCCTTTTTAAAGGACATATTTCACTCTTGTCGGTATTCAACATTTGCACCTGCTTTCTGTTTTACTAAAAGAATAGAAGTCCCATAATGTGTCATGACTTGTTCATCAGTCACAATAAATGAAATACAGCTACCTGACCTAGAGAGGAAAAAATATATTCTGGAGGCTAATTTGCAGTGGAAATCTTGCTTTTGTCCCTTAAATATTTATAGAATTGTTTTAAATAGGTCAAGATTGAATTTCTAGCACTCTTGTACCAATCCATACTGTTTAGTATCAGATTCTTATCCCATTGTTTCCATCCAAACATTAATGGCAGAGAATTATGTAGAAAATGAAAATAGTAATTCAGAGACACAAAATAGTAGCCACTTTAGTATATAATACATTTTAACCTTTTAAAAATTTGCTATACTACAGTAAGCCTCTGGGGAACGAATGACAGTAAGGAAATTCTGAATTAAAAGCCAACTTTGTTTCTGTTGCTTATTAGTTTTTTTTCCAATTAAAGTTCAAGGCCTGAGTTTTGTCACTTGTGATTCAAAATATGCTACTCCTGTTGAAGTTACTAGAAATTGTGGATGTGTGAGAGGGCTGACTTTCAACCTTAGTAGTTAGTATTGAGAATTCCTTAATGGTTCCTCTATGCTGTTTTAGTGCATGCAGAGAATACTCGTGGAATAAGCAGCTTTTTAACAATTTGTTTACAATTAGCCCTTTATTGCAAAATAAAACCTTAATCATGTAGCAGAACAAGGAACAACAGTAAACAAATATTTTTCAGCCTCCTGACATAGTTGGCCACTTGAAAGTTTTTTCTAACCCCACAAAAATCAGTACAATACTAATTAACAGTGCTGTCCTTGAAGAACAGAGTTTAAATTGAATAAAAAATAGACTTGACAATAAACCAAAAACTAATTATAAAAATTATTTCCAAGAGAAATAATGGAAGATGTGTAAAGTCAAAAATAGGATCTGCAAAGTATTAGCTACATTTAACAAAAATATAGTGTAAGGGACAGGTCTGGACTGATGAATTTTTCTAATTCCTGTTGTATGCATGTATGTATTTAACTTACACCTACTCTTGGGTGTAATTTTGTTTAAACAAATTCAGAGCAAATGGTAATGTTGATGTATTGCCTGCCCAACTCTAAGCTGTTATTTTTTCTGAAAATTGGTAAATCTACAGACAGGTCAGGTCCTGTTTGTAGTTATGTGATATTGTTGAGGCATTTAGTTTCCTACTTCCAGAATGGATACTTTCCACGTTCCCGGCGTTAAGAGGTAATTGAGTCTCTCTGCCTTTTTATCATGGGCAGTTTTAGATTTCCCAGTCATTTATAACAATTATTGTTTGGCAGCTTAGCTCAGGGGTGGCAATTTTTGCAGGGAGGAAGCACTTCATGAATTTTGGTATGTGGTCACAAGCTGACTCCAGGTGCCTCCCCCTACTCCTTAGAAGGGAAGGGCCTCAGGCAGAGGGGCTGGATTTTGGGCTACAGAAAGAAAGTGTGAGTGTAAAAAACACTGCATGAGAAACAGACTTCAATATAGATTGTGTGTGTCACAGAGACCATGTGATACTGTGTGTTAGTGACACAGAGTATGTGTGCTTGCCGTTGCTGAGTACATTTCTGAGAAGCTATGCATTGTCTCTAAGACAGGGAAAGCTGTCCTGCTTTGTTTTCCCCATTCCATGCTTTAGAATCAGTGTACTGCTTCTTAAGACAGGCACTCCATGCTTCAGAATGGAGCAGCTCCACTGTGTCTCCCTCTTCCTGACTCTTGATCTGTAGAGATGCGGTCCTGACTTCAGCACTTCCCTTTCATTTCCCCCACTCTGCATAGCTAGCTTGGCTGCAGGACAGAGCAAGGTGAGGGGGAAGGGGCAGCTGAACACACACTGCCAGCTATAAGTGTGCATGCTCTGCTTATCAGCTGGGCAAGCTGGATCCAGTCTGTGGACCCCTGGCTTAGCTTCACTCCAGAGGATTTTCTTTAAGCTGCTGAATGGATGCTATGGATGGTTGATACTAGGGGTGTTTAAATGCAGTTAATTAAGTAAACATGTAACCGCTGAAAATTTCAGCAAGTGCCCTGGCTCCCACCTTCTTCTCCTCTCCTTTGCTCCCCCTGCTCTGCTGCCTCTGATACAGAGGCAACAGTGCTGGGGGTAGTGGGGGAAGGAGCTTTGTGGGTGCTGGGGCACATGGAGAGCTGGCTTTTAAGCTAGCTCCCTGCACGTACCAGGAGCCTGCATGTAACTGTGTATACAGTTACTTTCACATCCATAGTTGGTATTTGACCTTTATCTTGGACACACAAGTAATGTGGAAACTTAAGTCAAGTTTGTGCTTGGAACTCTAACTTTTTGCCTGACACATGCTGAGGTAGATCGAATGTAGCATTATTATAAGACTGTCGAATTGGTCTTCATTTACAAGTTCACCAACAAAATACACTGTTTTAAAGAATATTACAACATTATTGTTTGGAATGCTGCAGTTCTTGAAGTAGTGTCACCATGGGTGCTCTACTTCATGTGTGCCAATGCATTGAAGATTTTTGTAGTAGTGCTTCTCTAGCCTACATCTGTGCCCCACTCATCCTTGTGCCCCTTACAGAGGCTGTATTGGGTTGTGTGGGCTAAGTTTCTTCTCCACCATCTGTGGCTGAGATGGTGTCTACAACTGTGCCTGTTCTCTACGAATATTTAGAATTTAGTTTGTATAGATTGTTTACAGTTGTTAGTCCTTTTCTTATATCCTTTCAAAATTATATAAAATATAAAATGTTTATAGATAGATAGTGTTAGTGTTTCCCTTCAGTGGGGTCAAATTGTAATGAATTTGCTCTGAAATGCCAAGCTCCCTGAGATTCAAAAAGTACCTCTCTTGTTGTGAGACCATTCACAGTGCCTACACTGTTTGGGTAACACCTATACCCCTACTAAAACAAGATCTGCACTTCCTTCAAGGGTAGATCCCAAAGAATAGGCAGCTCAAGTTTAAACTCTTGATAACAGAGAAAATCCTGTCACCAGCTTCAGATCCTAAAGAAGACGACCTCCCAGTTACTGCTAGTAACCTATCCTCAGTGACATGCTACTGGAGATGTAGGCATATGTCAGTGCTATGTATCAAAGAACTCAGCAAAGGCAGTTTTTGATATCTGCTTCTCTACAGCAGTAAATGAGTAGCTTACCAATAAAATCTGTCAATAACACACAAGACTATGAAGACTCCAGGTTCCAAAGAAAATTCCAGATAGGCTCCAAGTCATGTCAGGATTGCAGCGGAGAAGAGTCTCCTAAGACATTTGCAGTATTGAGCTTGGATACCTATACAGGCAGATACACAGCAGTGAAGGGTTCTAATCTTCTTAGCCATGAATGACATTCATGGCTAGTAACGGAATAGCCACTGGTACCCAAAGACCACTTAAATACCTGCAATACCAAGGGAATCCTAGACTCAGCCTGTTCTGTGCCAAGCTCTTACACAAACTGCATCAGTACTGAAGCTCTGTGCTCCATATGTTCTTGCTCCACCCACTGTTTTACACCTTTGGCATCACAAGAATTTAAATATCTTAAGGAGTTACTCTGTTAATAAGTCTGCAGGGTTTTTTTAGCATCAAGACTGTCACTGACTTCCTGTCTTCTAGAATACTGCATTCACTATGTCTATCTTGCAAATCAAACAGCTCTCTACCTCCACATACTCCAGGGGAGGACTCTTTAGATTCAAGCATCCGTCCAGGTTTTCCATGTTTAGTCTAGTACACACTGGTCTTCCTGTTATACTGATAATACTACAGCAAAATGGACCCCAAATAGCACTCGTGTGGCAGAAGTATAAATGAGGGCCTCCATCTGTGCCTTTTGGACCCCTTCTTGGGTTTACTAGCACTGTGGGTGTTCTCTTGTCAGTTAGCATCCATGTCATCGCATCACTGAAGAGTACAGAGAGGGGTCCATTTGCTTCAACCTCCACTACTACCAGATGTGCTAGAGGAAAAAAATCTTTGAGGACCAATAGGTAAGGCTAGAGGAGTTGACATGTCTTACTAATATTTCTTCTTTGTTGCCTGATGAAGCTGTAATGCTTTTGCCAGCTTCTATGAGGATGACTTCAGACAGTTTAAGGAACTGATGAAGCAAATTGCTAACATAGTATGGATTCCCTTAAAGAAGCTAAGGAATCCCACCATAAATTGTAACACGTATTATGAACTTTGATACCAACGAATATCACCATTCTGGATAATAAAGCTCTTCTAGAGCCTGGTAAAAACTGTCTAACAATCCTCAGCAGCCACACCACCTATATTCAAGAGAATGTATCGAAACTATTATGTCCCTGCAAGGGAATTGGTTTTTCTCTCACCCAACTCTGAATTCCCTGAAGGTGGAGGCAATTAGTGAACAGGTAGACAGCATAGCTCATACTGATGATGGGAGATCACTCGTTCCTGAGTGTGATCATCTACCATGGGAGTTATGGACCCTCAGGTGGCTGATAAGGCTGGTCCTTGAACCACAAGTTCTATTACAGTGAGGACAGATGTTTAAGCACAGCAAGTGGCTGTTGACCATGACTAGAAGCCAGTCTCTCTTTCTTCCTGTGCCTTTTCTCTTCAGTATATCAACGGGCAAATTCAAAATGCAGGAAGCCATTGCCTAGTACTTGTCTCCATTTTGAGCGAACCTGGGCGAGTGCCTCCCAAGTGTCAATGTCAATGTTGCACTTTTAAGTTATCCTTTAGCAAGTCCTTATTATGCTTCCATTGTTGTCCCACGTTACGGTAGCCTTCTTTCAGCTGAGAAAACAGGACCTGTTTTGGGTGGTGATGGTCTGGCATCCAAACAACATGAACAGTCCAACAAAGTTGCTAATGGATGACCATTGTCTCGATACTGGTGGTCTTTGCCTCATCCAGAACACTGTTAGTGTACCTGTCTTCCCATTTGATCTTGGAGGCAGCATTAGTGATAACCTACAGACATCACTTGAAAGTCCTTGAGAGGTATCCCAGTTTCAGACCCATACAGTAGTGTTGGGAGAATGACAGCTTGATAGACAAGAAGCTTGGTTTCTGTTCAAATGTCATGATCATCAAACTATGCCAAAATGAGCAAAAGGCTGCACTGGCACAGCTCAGATGATGTTGGATTTCTACATCAATATCTGTCTTGGTTGAAAGATAACTTCCAAGGTAGAGAAAATGTCTACTTAAGGGACCGTTCTGCTGTGGGTAACCCTATCTCTCCATGGATCAATACCTTGTAGTGATGGAGAGGCTTGCATATTCCAATGACCCCTGAGTGACACTGCCTAGAGTTATGTAGTCACCTTAGACTAACCCATACAGAGAGAACAATTGTCGTGTGGTTGGATTTGTTTTAGATCCACAGGGAAACCAGAACACTCTAGGGTAACTTAACCACTTTCTTACTTATTGCAAGGTTTAAGCAGTTAACATAGTAGTTTAAGTTTTACAAGCCTTAAAAACAATTACTATATAACTTAAACCTTAAGTACTATAAATTCTAAAGCAATTAATGCAGCACAAAACAGTGCAAAAGCGAATAATAGATCTATTATAATACAATAATAAAGCCTAGTTCGCTTACATTTCTCCCGTATGCTACCTACCGTACCAGGCACGAGGTTGTGGTTCCTTTGATTCCCACGCCATGAACTGGGTCGCTAGAGTGAAAGGCCTATTTACTTCTAGTTACATCGAGCAGGTCCTGTGGGCCAATCCTGCTCGTTCCCTCCCATCGATTGTTCTTACTAAGCCCATTTTTATGACAAAGCAAGACTTGCTAGTTCTAATATTATTTACCAATTGATTACATATTGTGTATGATACCTAAAACGTCCAGTGCCCTATTTGGAGTACATTCTGCTACGCAGGTTGTTGCTGCTGTGTGTAGTTGACCGTTGTATAGCTGCCTCTGTAATTTTTGCTCAGCAGAAACAGAAGTACCAGTACAGGGTTGCTTGTCATGTGTTTTTTGACGTGGTCTTGCGTACCATGCTTAATCTGCATTGTTATGCAAACAGTTTCTATCTCTAGAAGCTTCTCCTTTGACTTTGCCTGGGTGCTTACATGTACCAGACTTGAGACAGGCCCGGGTTTTGCATTTTAGAGATCCACGCTGTGTTCAAGGCAGACATCACCATTTATTGTCCAAGCTCCCCCACAACTATAAAAGGGATCAACTTTTGGATCACAACTTTTACTCTTCCATTCCAAATAGCAAATCATCGGGCACCCATGATCAAATATGGTAATCTGAACTATGAGAACTTTAATTCCTTTGACCAGCAGCCAGAGGAATACTGGGACCAATTTAAACAAGAGAGTGCTTCAGTTCTCCACATAGGATCAATAGAATTCTATTCCAAGTACTACTTTATTCCCAAGAATAGAGGCCAATTTTTTTACCTTAAGCATGTAAAGCAGCAGAAATTCAGGATGGCGACCTTTATAGCAATAATTCCTTCATTAGAATTAGAAGGTTGGTTTGCAACTCTCTCTCTGTAAAGTGGGGTAGCCATGTTAGTCTAGATCTGCAAAAGAGACAAGGAGTCCTGTGGCACCTTATAGACTAACAGATGTATTGGACTATAAACTTTCATGGGCAAAGACCCACTTTGTCAGATGCATGCATGCATGCTCCAATACATCTGTTAGTCTATAAGGTGCCACAGGACTCCTTGTCACTCTGTAAGATATATAGTTCCATATTGCTATTCACCAGTCACACAAGATTTCTTTGATTTCTAATAAAAAATGAGCATTACTACTACTATTGGTGTTTCCTTTTGGCCCATCTTCTGCCACAGGATTAATTTTAAATATTCTGGCAATAGTTGCTGCCAACTGTGTTTGAGGATATTAGTTTTTCCATATCTGGATGAATGACTAATCAGGAGCAGATCGTACCATTAAGTATTGGCAGCAGTCAGAGAGCATTGTGTGTGGCAGCCAGGGCCTCGAAATATCTTTCTCAAAGTCCATTTTGATTCCAATACAGTATTTAGATTTCATTGTTTATTCAGTGAAGCTCCTGACAGGCAGAGCGTACTTCCCTTCCAGTAGATTTCTCACTCTAATGAATCTCAAGGATTCAGGGCAGTCCTCAGGTAAATTGTGTTAATTGCTGGGTCACCTGTCAGCTTCTGTCTTCATAGTGCAGTATGAGAGACCATCTCAGAGCTCTAAAGGGATAGTTGTAAAAGCTTTATAAACCAAGACAGCAGTCTAGGCATATTACTGTCTGTTCCCCAGCAGGTTTCCTCCAAACTGTGTGAAGATATTACATTTTTCCAGAGTCTCTCCATCACTGTCATAATATGCCGTTCCCTATTGAAATAAGGGACACGTATGGGTCCTCACAAAGTTCAGGGCAAATGATCTCTACAAGAATACTATGAAGAAGCCAGTCTTTTGGAACTAAGCAGTCCAATGTTTGCTTACACTTTCTACTGCTGATCAGGTCCGTCAATTACAGACAACATCACATCATGCATTTCTTCAGCCATCGAGGAACTAAAGTGATAAAACTCTGGAATTGGTGCATACAGTCTACCAGACAGTCATCTGAGTTTCATGCATTTCAAGTATTCACAACACTATGGCAGATGATATCAAAATATTTCTTTGTTAGAATGGCAATTAAACTCCCAAGTTCAAATTTGGTAGATCAAGCTCTTACCGTTAGGACGAGTTCCTGAACAAATTATATTTGAGAGCATTTGATAGTATGCCTGTCTGTCCATCTCTAAATCTAAGTAGATTATATGAATAAGCTCTCCATTTTGAAATGCTAATCAATGTACAGAATGCTGCTCTGTGACCCTGACATCTTTCATTAAATGTGAAACGAAGACATATATGCTTATAATAGAAAAGTAATACGAGGCCTCATAAAAAAGAACCACCTCTGGCTATTTTCCATTGTTCCTAGTGATTAGCAGTTTGAATTAGTTATGTAGAATTTGGCAATAGGCTTTATATATTGTTGCGTCTCAGGAAAAAAATTTTTTTTAAAAAAAAATATTTCTCAAATTCTCTTTGCTTCAATAGGATAGAATAAGTCTGGATTATTAAATCTGCAAAATGAAGGTGACCTGATCTTCACATGGTTTGATATTCATGGAGAATGAACTCTGCTGATAACCTGTACTTGTATTCACAGAACTCATATGCAGGATCTGAAAGATGTCACTAACAATGTACACTATGAGAACTACAGGAGCAGAAAGCTGGCAGCTGTAACATACAATGGAGTTGACAACAACAAAAACAAAGGGCAGCTAACTAAGTAAGTGCTTGTTAAGTTTGCATCAGCATTTGATTACCATTCTGTATTTTCTACTTAATTTCATTGAGTTACCTAAAGTTTATGAAGGCCTTATCTAAATACAATGGAGCATCAACATTTAATTGACATGGGTTTGCTTAACCTATGCAACTGTTGTGTGTTGACAAGCAAGAAGTTTTAATGTTCATTATGAATCTTTAAAGCATATTCATCATTTGAGAGCTTTTGGACATTGAGGTTTCTGTTTCTGGGCAGAAATTGTTGACTTTTTTGGTTTCTCTTGCTGTTGGTGCTCAGTGCTTTCTTTCTGGGGAAGAGGAGACGCAGTTATCTGTTTAATAACTTCAAGAATAAAATCACACGTCTCTTCCCCATCTTCAGTGAATTTTGCTCAAAAATTTTAAAGCCTTTTATGGTAGAAAGCTTGTTAACAACACACAACAATCTCCATATCCATCCCTTTGTGAGAGGGAAGCAGCTAGTGCAGTATTTCAACCCCCAACTAGTGCAGGAACTAGGGTTGTAAAATCCTGTTTAATCCCATAACTAGTTAAATGTTATGTTTAACTGGTTAACTGATTAAATGTGGGTAGGCAGGGGCTGCTTGGGCTGGGTTGGAGCAGCCATTCACCCATGGAGGTAATGCTTACCTCTGACCTCTCTAGCAGGAACAAAGACCTAAAAACTTCTTCCCCTTTCATGATAGCACTTGCATGCCATTCTAGTTAGTTTTAAATTATGGAAGCATAAAATACAAATGTATTTATCCCTTCCTATTCTATTTCTATAACACAAAGATGGTCATTTCCAAGAATTATTGGCTATCCGTACATGTTTTAAAATTCTGTATATTCATCTATGTAATAGTGAAGATGTAATGTGTTTGAGGGTGCTAGTGTAAAATTATTTCAAGTGTTTTTAAAAAATGAGGAGAGTTAGTCATTAGTTTTTTTACTTGGAATAGCATTGCAATATAGAATCAGTAAGAGTTCAGGGGTCTTATACAGTTACTGTCTAAAAATTATATAGTTATTTGTCAGTGTGGGGTATCCCTGATCTCTGGCAGGGACAGGTCACCTAGGCTGTGTCCAGACTCAGGGGTTTTTTCGAAAAAAGTAGGCTTTTTTCGAAAAAACTTCACCTGCGTTTAGACTGCAGCCGTGTTCTTTCGAAATTAAATCGAAAGAATGCGGCTTGTCTTTCGACGGCGGTAAACCTCATTTCACGAGGCAGAACGCCTTTTTTCGAAAGTGCTCTTTCGAAAAAAGGCGTTCTTGAATGCCAACAGGGCTTTTTAGAAAGAGAGCATCCAGACTCACTCGCTGCTTTCTTTCGAAAAAGCGGCTTGCTTTTTCGAAAGTTCCGCTTGCAGTCTAGACGCTCTTTTTCGAAAAAGGCTTTTTCGAAAGTACCTTTCAAAAAAGCCTCTTTTGAAAGAGGCTTGCAGTCTAGACATAGCCCGTCTGATTTGTATGGCTATTTCACAGTAAGGGCTTATCCACACTAGGATACACACTCTGCTCATTGCTCAGATCAACTCTTTGTATTTTATTGAGAAAATACTTCATGGGGTAGAGGGATTATGAAGAGAATTGGGGAGGAAGAGAAATGTTATAATTTTGATTTGATGTTTGAATTGTGCATGTAGAGGGATGAGAAGAGAATACAGGTAAGTATAAAAACTTGAGGGTGTATCCTCTTTGAATTGGTGGTAGGATCTTGGACTAATGAGTTCTATCTTCTCCATCAGACTTATAAAGCTCATTAATTTGTGGATGTCTTACAAACCTGGAGTCTTTAAGACATGTGATGTTGCCGCAAAAACAAAAGAAATTGATCGCACCATATTTTGTTACATAACTGGATTTAATACCATTGCTTTTACAATAAGGGTTAAGTAAGGAGAAGACACTATATGTACTTTGACTGCCAAAGTTTTGTTGATCTCTCGCCATTATCCTTCCATTTTGTCTCATCAGCAGATTTCTGCTTGTCTGTGCCTTCAAACCCCCATAGTCTGAACACTGTAAATTCTTACAAATTTAGTATACAATTGAATTTTGCTCTTAATATTAAAAACTTTGTGTGCTGCTTGCTACATATTCTATGTACAGTATTCAGAGATTCCAAAACCAAAGTTACATTTGCAGCACTAAACATTTATCACTAAGACTTTCATATTCAGAATAGGTGTTGCCTGTGGTGTTGATTCCCACAAGTGTCTGGATGAGTACTGATGATGTGGTCTTCTTTCAGAAGCATGCCTCAGTATTTCACTTCTTGCCACCAAAACCCCAGTCACTTTGACAGTCCCAATGGATTTGGTCTTTTGTGCAAGATGTATTTAATAAATACACCTTTCTGAATACTTTTCTGTGCAGCAGATGTCTTTGATTTAGGATTCTACTAGCATTTCATTACTGAATAAGTTTTAAAAAAAAAGATAGTTGGCAGTTTGAGCTTGGTTTCATTCATCATGGAGCTACTGTTATCTGGTTTAGTCCTGGCAGATTTCTTTATGGATTTTGAAAGGAATTCTGATTGAATCCAGATCCTAAAATAGAGGCCCATAACCTTTTAGCACCTCAGTTTCTTCCTAATTCATGCCTCATCTCTCAGATTTCTGCCGCCTTTTCAATGGAGAAAATTAAGTTTTACTGTCATTTTGCCTTGTATCTCTCCAGTGTCTAAGTACGTACGTGCGCGTGCACTACTCTGCTTCACATTATTCCTACTTTAAATTCTTACCTTGCCCTTTTTTGAAAAATGCAAAAGTTTCAGATTTTTATACTAGTTACAAATGGGCTGTCACTGTCACTACAGAGCAACAGCATCTGTTTTATAAGTACAATCACACTACAAATTTAAACAGTTACAATCTAATATTTATATCCATTTACTATTAAAGGGGGAAAGGGGATAAAGAAATGGAGTTTTTATGCAACTGTGCATCTCAGTATCACTTAATAGGGTATTTTTCTTTATTTGGGGGGGCACTTGTAGAAATATATGCAGGGTTAGCAAGAAGAGTACAAGATGTATAGATCTGTTCATAGCTTAGAGAAGTGACCATACATCCCAAGGTACTGATTTGAAAAGAATGTAATTAACGCATCACAGCTGTTCAGTACAGAAACTTTCTGGGAGCTACTTAGGTTTTACAATAACACTTTAATTCTGACATGCAGACATTGTATTCCTTGCTCATTTAATAACCAGTCACTACTAGACTCTTCCACTCTAGAGCTGGCTTACTGTGCTGCTGCAGTTTTGGTTCCTGTCAGATTTAGAATAAAATATAGGAAGATGATCTATAGGAACATATCTGGCTGCCATGTATTCTTTCATCAAATGGGGAAAAGAAAACAAATACATTTCATTTGTGCCTCCCCTCAGGAGTTGTAAACTTATTTTTGCAATCACTAAGAAACATCTACACCAGGGCTATTCAACTTTGGAAGCCTCAGGGGCCACAATAATACTCACTGCACATGCTGTGTGGTTGCATATACATGCAAATATATATGCAAATAGCTTCTTTCACACAATGTCCCAGGGCTCCCGGCACCTCCTGCCAGGGGCCAGAAATGCCAACACCCTGACCCTATACACATCTGTTACAGCCAGCCCGTCCGCTTTCGTCTTTCAGTGCTCACCCCGCCTGGGAGATGCCTCGCTGTTGTGGAGCGTATTCCCAGTGGAGGCCATGTTCAAAGGATCCCACCCGTGGGCCATGTGTTGAGCCCAGTGTAAACTCAAACTGCACCGCGGGCCGCATGTTAAGTAGCCCTGATCTACACTCTGTAGCTGAAATGATTTCTGGAGCTGTGACGGACAAAACCAACCTTGCAGATTTCCTGAAGATGGGATAATAGCGCATCTGTGAAGCTAAAGGAAGTCCCTGAAAACAGGAGTGGAATGAGGCAATGCTTGAGCCATTTTTCTTGTCAGACAAAAGCAATGCTTTCAGCTTGCAGAAAGGAATAATGTTCACCTGTGAAGAAGGGGCTTTTGTAGTCTGAGACAAAGGAAGAGGCACTTTCAAGACTTCAATGACAAAGCAAATATCAAGTCTTCCACTCCACCATTTGGCTTGAGAAGCCTGAGTTCTTCCTGGCTGCTGAATCTTTCAATGATGCCTTAATCCAGTGGTGGGCAACCTGCAGTCCAAACCTTGCATGCAGCCCATCAAGATTCTGTGTGTGGCCCACAGGACATTGCCCATTTGCAAAGTTGCTGGATTCCACTGGTTTCTGTCTGTCGTTTTTTTTTTCCTACCAGTATTACTAAAGTGACGTGCCCTTAAGCAAGGGCACGTGCAATGAGGTGCATGCTGACTGCACACAACGTTGAACTACAGGATGCCAAGGGAGCGCACAGCTCTCATGGTCAATGAACACACCCTGCAAATTCCAGGCGTGCAAGCACAATTGGCAAAACTACCCTAACCTGGGAGACTGTTCTGGTTGCAACAATATTGTGGTCCACTGAGATGGAGGGCCACTCATGTGACCGACTCACTAGCATAAGGTTGCTCATCGTTGCCTTAATCTCTTCTCCCAGGAGTTACCTAGTAAAGTCTTAAGAGCTCCTGCAGAGCTTATGCTCAGGCTTCTTTGATTGTACAGTCATCAAATACATCAGAAATTAAATCACTTTTTAAGCACGTAGAGGATAATAAAACTATAAGCGATAGCCAGCCTAAATTTATCATGAAAAATCATGCCTAATCAATCTAATTGCCATCTTCAACAGGGTTATGAGCCTGGAAGGGGAGAAGCGGTAGACTTGATTTTTTAGTGAGGCTTTTGACAAAGTCCCATATAACCATCTCCTAAGCAAAATAGGGAAATGTGGGTCTAGATTAAATTACTAAAGGTGGATGCACAAGTGGTTGATAGACCATACTCAGAGTAGTTATAGTTTACTGTCAAAAATGGGAGTGTGGTTATTGGAGTCCCACAGGGTCAGTCCTGGACCTGGTGCTATTCAATATTTTCATTAATAATTTGGCTAATGGATTGGAGCATATGCCTATAAAATTTGTAGATGACCCTGAGCTGGGAGGAGTTGCAAGCACTTTGAAGGACAGGATTCGAATTTACAGGGACTTCAAAAATTGGAGAATTGGTCTGAATTCAACAAGATGAAATTCAATAAAAATAAGTGAAAGTACTTTGGAAGGAAGAATCAAATGCCCAACTACAAAATGGGGAAGAACGGAGTAGGTGGTAGTACTGCTGAAAAGGATCTGGGGGTACATAGTAAGTCGCAGTTGAATGAGTCAATTTGACACTGATGTGAAAAATCTAATAATTCTGTGGTATATTAAGTGTGTTGTTTGTAGGGTGAAGCCTTAGAGTACTGTGTCCAATTCTAAGTGCCACACTTCAAGAGAATTGAGAGGGCAACAAAAAAGATTTAGGTTTAGAAAATCTGACCTATGAGGAAAGGTTAAACTGGGCATGTTTAGCCCTGAGAAAAGAAGAGGCCTGACAAAAATTGAAAAAAATGTAAGGGTTGCTATAAAAAATGTGATAGGTATTTTCTATGTCCACTAAAAGCAGGACGAAAAGAAGTGATATAAATTTCTTCCTTTCTGAGCTGAGGCCTAGACAAGAAGCTTCTTGTCTATTTGAATACGTTAAAATAGGCTAATGGATTTCTCCGATTAGAGAATCTAGGTGGAAAAACAGATGAGGGAACTAGAGCCCAATGCAGGATTATTTTTAATTTTGCTCCTGTCTCATTTTACAATACTCATTTCCACTATTGTAGCAGTAGATCCCACTCCCACAGCAGGGCTCTGCACTAGTCCCATACACAACTCAAGGGAACTCCTAGAAAGCAGGAAAATCTTGCATGGGTCACTGTTATCCTTCCTGTAGGACCAAGTGAGGAGGGAAACCTAAGTTGCCATGATTTGTTCAAAAACATTTGTGTGCTTCAGAAGTGTGGGTTTGCAACATTTGACCATATGACCATATTCTTGTATTATTAGCTAACCAGTCCATTTTGTACACTTGCCCCTTCCTCTTGTTAGCAGATGCCAAATATTTTGTATTAAATGTTGAGTTTATTGGAGCTGTGAGAATTTACAATGCACATGTATATGGCCTGCTCCTGATGGTAATGTAAACATTGTTAGCCTTTGGCAGCTCTGTTCCTTGAGTAAATGTTAATTTCTTTGAACAAAACTCAGTGATTATGAAAACAGAATGTGCTACAGGAAATATTCTGTATTGTCCAAATGCACCAAAATATTTTTCTTGCCTTGTAATGACTCCCTTGAATTTCCTCCCTTGTTTAGCTGATACAATCAGCTGTTCTACAAGTAACACATTAGCTGAAGAGAAATCCAAAGCATGTGTTTTTCCATGATTATGTAGCCTTTTTGTATTTTAGGTTTAGTGTCTGATTCCTTCACATTTTCAACATCATCCCATCTCTAAAAATATTATGTCAAATGGTAACCTTCAGGTATATGAATAACTTGTCTCTTCACACTATGCAAATAAGTGTAACTGTACACGTGCACTGTGTGACACACACACACACTAAAATTGGCACTTGAAACCAAAAAAAATTCTTAATTCGAGAAGTTCTATATTCACTTTTTGGTGTGAAATAGACATCAGTGAGGTTAAAAATAAACCAGTTTATTATCAAAAAGTATGTTTGTATAAACAAAGATAAGAAGGCTTTTATGTTCAATAAACTGTGTCACAGAGTAACAAATTATATGTATAAACCCTTCTAATTGCTTCTTAGCCTAGACTGCTTCTAACTCCTTTTGAATGTCCTAGTACGTTTATAATCTTGCCACAAACCCAAAATTCTGTGCTTCCTTTAGACACTATGGGAAATTCTACGGATCATTCCTAATAGTATGAACGGTTTCATGCTATGTTGCAAATGGCTTCATGCACCGCTACCAATTCCTGAAGGCTAAAACTTGATCTTTTCTTCTGATTTTACTATTATCAGTGAGATGCTAACACAACACACACACAAAGTAAAATGCCATAAGCCCCATGTAAACTTCATTACATTGTATGCTTTTTAGTGCTGTTAAGCATAGCCTTCTGTGAGACCTCTGCTGGCCAGTAAAGCTGAATACTGTTTCTGTAGCACCTGAACAGTCGCTCTTTAAATATAACATCCATCATTCACTTTGAATATAACATCCTTCATTAGGTGACAAATTTTATAAGGCAAATAAGCATAGAGATGGATGGCTGTGATTTCCGAAAGCTTACTTAGCACAAATAGATAAGTTAATGTCACTAAAATATTTAAAATCACTTTAAAAGCATGCATACTTTAGGCAAAACACTGAAGCTATACTGTCTTTGAAATATCTCTGCACATCAAATCTGCATTAATATTTATATGATGTAGTGATTTACTAACTGAATTTTGAAACAAACATAACCAGCTTTAACTAACAATCTTTCATTTTACTGTAGAAAAACTTGCTTTTGGGGGAAAAACAAATTTTAATTAGCTTTAGGTATCTGTAATGAATTTGCTTTTTTTAATTGCTGCTTTTTAGTTTTTGTGGTTTTATTTAAGCATGCTAAGCCTCTGTATTTTTTGTTTTTTAGATTTGACACAGTTGAAGGCATGTAAGTGGTTATTTAAATTTTTCTGAAGATTTCAGACAAAAGCTCTTTAAGCACTTAAGACCTTTAATGTTAAGTGTTCAAAATTTAAGTTTTCCTGTTGTTCAGCTTCTGGCATCTGTTTTTACTTTAGTGCTTTTGTTCTAAAACTGCTCTAACATTTCAGATGAGAAGTTTTATAAATATTTTCAGTGACAAATATTCTTCATAGAAACATTCCCTCTTTCTTTGGAAAGATTTTACTCAAATTCCATAAGAATAACAAAGACTAGAAGAACACTGTATTGGTTGAAGATGTATGTAAATCCTGTAATTCATCTAAATTGGCTTTGCAGTCCCATTTAGATCCAGAGTAATAATTATATTTGTACTTATTTAGAATTTGTGGAATCTTCAGTATTTGTACACTAAATTTATAGCTATTTGTTTTGTTAAGGCATTAAACTAGCTGACTTGTTAGTGTAGTCAAATTCATTTGACTATGGTTTTGTCATACAAATGGCTTGCAGAGGTTCCACTTTGTGTATACATAGAATAACAAAAGCTTTCTCTAAACCTTAGAGTTAACATTACACATGCATATTACTTAGTACAGGAAGGGTGGGAATGTTCCTCACACTTTCTTGGACTTCCCTTTTTCTTTGTGCTTAAACCTCATTGATTTCTCTAGACATTGCTTGTGTGTGAGAAATGTGTACTGGCCCACTCATAAAGAACTCTATAGTTGTAATAAATATGACTTGGAAGACATACCTACCCAGTTCTTAGGTTCTGATGTCCTTAGTAAGCCAGATCTGCTTTCATTTGACATCAGTGGCAGGGAGAGGGGTGTTTTGATAGTGACTTCAGTGACAGTACAACTCAGTCCCCTAGATTAATAGTTCTTTATATAGAATAGACAATTTAAACCTTTCTATATAGGGAAAAGAAGGTATGTTAAAAGTACCCGCAGGAGGTTAAATTTTGTAATGTTTCAATGGTGTTTTACACACACACACTACTACTTCTCATTCACTAAAATATTCAACTGTTGCATACTCCTCATGAAATAGTTTTATGTATCTTGGTAATGTATTGGGCATATTCTAAGTTACACGCTGTTTTCATCAACAGAAGGTACAGATTCTAACAATCAACCTTTGTACAGTAAAAGTAGTGAATCCTGAATTTGGAGTGGGATCAGTTTCCATTTGAAATCTAGTATTCTTCTAACATTTGGTCTGCTGCTCTAAATTTTGCATGTCGGTTCAGATACATCTCAAATACCTAAAATTGTCACCTTTTGAAGCACATTTAAAAATACTGGAATTTAAAAACTGTTCGGTTGGCTTTGATTTCTTAAGCTGTATTTCATTTTCACTTCATTATTAGCAATCATATACATATAAAATGAGCTATGAATAGTCAAAACAATTCTCAAACACATTTGAGAAACCCTCCATTGCACTGACTATACCTTTTTAAAGCTATTTGCTTCTCCCAAAAAGAGAGTTGCAATACTTTAATCTTTTAGGAGAACCCTGAAAACATAAAACACATTCAATCCCCCAATCAAATATTTTATTTTTGGTGTAATCACACGTAGTAAACACAATACAGTTTGATTTCTTAGGTTAAAGTCAAACCATCTTGAATGGATAGATGTTCCCTGCTGATCTATCGGTTTTTGTTTCTTGTGTGTATGTAATATCCAAGAATGATCATTATATTTTTTTATTTATATGTTTGCATGATATTCATATGCTAGTTAGAGCACTTTTCCTCTACCCTCCCAAATGTTTTTGAAAAGCCTACACGTACAGGCTGAACTTAATTTGTTCTGGTGGCTCTTAATGTTTGAGTAGCAAAAAATTATTCTTACCAGGGGCTGATTATACATTAGCCAGAAAAGAGTGACATGAATGGGATATATAATGAGTCTCTGTTGAATTTTACAAAATATTGAAGAATAAAACATATTTGTTAAATGCTATTTTAAATTCAGTAGCAGTATTAGTAAATTAGTTGCCCAAAAGTGTATGGAAAAATGTATTTGAATTAGGTGCATTTTACAAAACAAAATATTCCATTCTAGTAACACATTCACAAATCTGAAGTCCAGCTATTAAAAAGCCTGTAAGAACTGCTGTGTGTTAAAAAGAATTGACACGGGAAAAGATTGTATTTACACAAAGCTGAAATTGTTGATGTGCATTTATTTTATAATTATCTTATACATTAGGATTTAAAAATCTGTTTCTCTTTGCCTGGAACACTTTTTTCCTCTTGCTCTATCCTAGTTTCAAGCTATTTTCCCATTCTTTGAATGTTTGCTCATGTCCAGTCCACATAAGAGTGTGTACTTGCCACATGCACCAGTGCCAGTCATTTTTCCCTTCAGCAATAAGGGAGCAGTTCTGGCAATCTCTAGATTGGCACCTGCATGGTGCAGTATAAGAAGTGCACTCCTCTCCCCCTACCCTAATTCCTTCTAGCACTAGTGCATGCATGTGCACACACCTTATGTGGAACAAACATGAGCAACATCTCTCAAATGCCAGTTATAGAACAGGTAATTGTCTCTTGAGTGCACAAATGTGTTAGTGATTGGAGGGACTGTAGCATAGAATTGGAAGATCATCAGGAAGAGGCCAGGGGTTTTGAGTTTTTTGTTATTGAATTTTTCCTGATGTGACTTTCCCCTAGCACAGTGGTTCTCAAACTGTGTAGTGTTGTGGGCTGCATCCTGTACTGCATTTATCACCCTGAGGATGTCACCTGGGCCACAGTTCTGTGCTGATTGGACTGGAAGTGGCCTGTGGGCTGCAAGTTGAGAACCACTGTCCTAGCGATTCTCTTAAAGGTAGAACATAAAGAATTGAATATATGCCTTCATTATTTTTAACCTAAACATAACATTTAAGATGTTTACACTGAAATAAATCATGTTTCTTCTCATAGTTTAATATTGGTTTGATCGAGCATATTCAGTTTTCTAAAATTATGAACTTCAGATAGAGAAACATGCAGAGACATCATTCTATTTAACATCTTGGTTTTTGCTTGCCTTGCTTTTCACTGTTATGTATTGCGAAAAAGATCACTTGCTTATTGGCTAACCTGCTCTGGGTTTATGACAGGAGCCCTCTGGCACAGATGGAAGAAGAGAGAAGAGAGCATGTGGCCAAAATGAAAAAAATGGAGATGGAAATGGAGCAGGTCTTTGAGATGAAGGTCAAAGAAAAAGTTCAGAAACTGAAGGACTCTGAAGCTGAGGTAACTAAAATGTTAAATGCCAATTACATGTTCGGTGCTGAATAATGGAGAGAGCCTTTTCCTTAAGGACAGACACATGTTCTTGAGGCTCCCTCATGGCTTGATAGTTAATATAATCTTGAATTAGAATTTAAGTGAAACTCTCACTAATAATTGCCCAAGTTTACATTATCTAAATAAAGGATCAGGCATGTATTTTCAAGGTAACTTTCAAATTTAAACATCCCCTATTTTCACTTCCATAATCACAGCATGCTAAAAATCTCTCCTGCAGTTCCCCTTTGATGTTCTAAAACATTACTTTAGACTTCACACAGTGCATAAATTAGCTAATATGAATCTTTTAGCAACAATAAAATCCTCCTTCATTCTGCCACGATGCCTTGAAATCCTCCTTCATTCTGCCATGATGCCTGTGACAAACAGTTCGTGATTAAGGAATAGACAGATACGGCTTGTAACTTTTTCAGTTACTGAAACCTTTAAAAATTGTATTACTATATAAACTGTATAATTTGACTGTCACTCACCCTTCATATCCTTTTGTATGTCAGTTTTCTTAAGCTGTAAACTCTTTAGAACAGCGACAGGACTACTCTGTAATACAAAGGCTTTGTCAATATAGTATACCAGCAAATCTACCTCATGGAGACACAGCATATATTGGCATAATGATCTTTTTGCCAATATAGGCTGCATCTACACTGATGTTGCTTGCCAACATAGCTATTGGACAGGGAAATGATATATTTTGTTAACCACACATTTTACTGACATAGGTATACTGACCAAACTTAGAGTGTAGACCTCAACCGTTACATGTTTATTCTGTTAACACAAGGGGGTTCTGATTGTGAACGGAACCAATGGGGCAGTACAACAAATCAAACAAGTGAATTCTCTAGCTCAAGTAGAGAGGCAGCTTTTCTAAAACAGCCTGGTCCAACACTCAGAGCTGCAAATTAAAAAAGCTTAGCTGGTTTACAGGAAGCTAAGAAGAATAGAAGCACTTACAGCTCCTGCCAGCCACTCCATGAGGCAGACAGGACAGCGGGAGAGAAGTAAACCGTGATACCCTGTTCTTCTGTGTTCAGTCCTGCTGCGCTTTCCACTACCCAAATTCACCTGTTATATACCCAGTCCACTGAAGTCTGATTCCATAACCCTTCTCTTCATGCACTCTGCTTTCCCAGTGTATGCTTTCTGCTCACTATTGAACTTGTAAACATCTACAAAAATAAATTATACAAGTTCAGAGACAAAGAGATTGGAATTGGGTTCCAGAAGTATGTCTCAATACTTTAGGATGAGTGCACGATGAGTCTAGTTCATGACCATCTTTTTCAGGACACGTCATAGAGGGAAGGGATGTAGAAGACCTGGAGCAGGATCAAAACTATACAGGAATATAAACTATACAGCATATAAATTGTTACATTTTCAACATGCATAAAATCCTCTTTTTCCATTCTCTCTCTACGAACATAACGGCCATACTGTGTCAGACCAAAGGTCTATCTAGCCCAGTATCCTGTCTTATAACAGTGGCCAATGCCAGATGCCCCAGAGGGAGTAAATAGAACAGGAAATCTTGAAGCAAATCCCTCTCCTGTCACCCATTCCCTGCTTCTGACACAGGCTAGGGGACACTATTCCTACCCATCCTGCCTAATAGCTATTGATGGACCTAACCTCCATGAATTTATCTAGTTCTTTCTTTAACCCTGTTAAACTCTGGTCTTCACAACCTCCTCTGTCAAGGAGTTCCACAGACTGACCATGAGTTGTCAAGAAAAACTTCCTTTTGTGTTAACCTGGCTACCTATTAATTTCATTTGTTGACTCCTTGTTCTTATGTTATGGGAACAAGTAAATAACTTTGACTGATTCCACACCAGTCATGATTTTATATACCTCTATTGAGCCTCCCCCCCAAGTCTGTTTTCTAAGCTGAAGAGTCCAAGCCTTTTTAATCTCTCCATATGGGACCCGTTCCTAATCATTTTTGTTGCCATTTTCTGAACCTTTTTCCAATATCATTGTATATTTTTTGAGATGAGGCAACCACATCTGTATGCAGTATTCAAGATGTGGGCATACCATGGTTTCATAGAGAGAGGCAATAAAATGTTCTCGGTCTTGTGTGCTCTCCCCTTTTTAATAGCTAACATTGTTTGTTTTTTGACTGCTGCTGCACATTGAGAGGATGTTTTCAGAGAACTAGCCAAATGACTCCAAGAGCTCTCTGCTGAGTAGTTATAGCTAAATTAAGCTCCGTCGTATTTTATGTATAGTTGGGATTATTTTTTCCCCCAATGTCCATTACTTTACATTTAACAACATTAAATTTCATTTGCCATTTTGTTGCCCAATCACTTAGTTTGAGATCTTTTTGAAGCTCTTCACAGTATGCTTTGGGCTTAACTATCTTGAGCAGTTTAGTAACATCTGCAAATTTTGATACCTCACTATTTACTCCTTTCTCCAGATCATTTATAAATAGATTGAATAGGACCGGTCCCAGTACAGACCTTAGGAGGACACCACTAGTAACCTCTCTCCATTCGGAAAACTTACCATTTATTCCTACCCCCTTTTTTCCTGTCTTTTAACCAGTTATCAATCAATGAGAAGACCTTCCCTTTATCCCATGACAACTCACTTTACTTAAGAACCTTTGGTGAGGGACCTTGTCAAAGTATTTCTAGAAATCTAAGTACACTACATCTGCTAGATCCCCCTTATCCACACATTTGTTGACCCACCTCAAAGAACTCAAGTAGTTTAGTAAGGCATGATTTCCCTTTACAGAAATCATGCTGACTTTTCCCCCAACAAATTGGATTAATCTATATGTCTATTTCATTTTTACTATGGTTTCAACTAATTTGTCCAGTAGTGACGTTAGACTTACTGGTCTGTAATTGTCAGGATGACCTCTAGAGCCCTTTTTAAATATTGGCATCACAGTAGTTATCTTCCAGCCATTAGGTACAAAAACTTATTTGAAAGATCGGTTACAAAACACAGTTAATAGTTGTACCCCCAACATGAGTATGTGTACTCAGACCTACCTGTATAGTACCACAAAGTCTTCAGGAAAGAGCCCTGGAGACATTGGCAGTTGGTAGATTTTCAGAGGCCTTTTCAGGGTCCTGAAAATCCAACAAAATTTTAATGTAGTTATGATGGCCAAAGAGTACTTGTCAATTGCAATTATGTAGAATCAAGAAAATCACTAGTAACTGCAGTATTGATAAGAGACAAACTGTGGTTGGTTTAGTTACCACCAGTGATTTATATGCAGTTGCCCACAACACACACCTAATTCTTAATAGGCATATGCAAATCACAACTTTTACTTGAGTATGGGAAGAAATCATGTGTTATGTACTTAGATATGATTTTACATTCTGTCAAAGATGCATTAACTTTAAGATTTGTGAGAAAGTAGATGTGTGTGCACTGTAGATCGCTCTGTTGATATTACATTCAATCACAACTTTGTCCGATTGTTATATGTGGGATATAAGTTAAAGATCAAGACTGCAGTGCTTTGAAGTTCTGAAAGCCCTCTGTTTTCGATGAGATTACTTATTTGCCAAACAACCTCTCAGCATTCAGAGGAGGGGAAGTGAAAAAGTGTGAAGCAAAGAGCAGGAGATAAGTACAAAGGGCATTTGGGAAGGAGGCTTGAGAGGAACACAGACAGAAGGTGAAAGGTAGGAGGAGAAAATAGCAGACATGTAGGTATAGATTGAGTTTGTACATGGGTTTGAAAATGAGATTTAAAAGCTTGTACCTGATATTGAAGGGGACAGGAAGTAAGCATGTGAACATGTTCATCGGTTAGCGTGCACGGTTACACATAGCGCTTCCCTGCCCCCTCCCCCGCTGCTGCCTCTGTTAGAGGCAGCAGCACTGGGTGAGTGGAGGGAACAGGTGGCTCCATGGGAGCCCACCTCTCCTGTGTGTAAACATGTAACTGCTGAAATTTTCAGTGGTTACACACTTACATAAATGCATTTTAACATCCCTAATAGAAAGCTAGTGAAGGGAGTCAGGCCTGATGAAGTGCGGTTTTGCCCATGAAAGCTTATGCCCAAATAAATCTGTTAGCCTTTAAAGTGCCACAGGACTCCCCATTTATTTAAAATATAGGTCGACAAAGCTATAGCACTCAGAGGTGTGATTAAAAATCCTCCCTCCTGAACCCATCAGTTTTGCCAACCTAATCCCACTGTGAACACTTGTAGGTGAATGGAAAAATCTGTTGACCTAGCTAAGATTGCTAGGGGAAGTGAAGGACCCACAGTGATGGTATAGGCTTACTCTGCACTAACGGGTTATGCTGGCATGGGGGAGGGAATATGGTGGACTTAAGAGTGAAGGTAAGGTGAAGATGAATAGCTTTGCTACTGACATGTCTGGAAGATGTCAGTCATTTAGGCCCTATCTAGACTAGAGGGAAAGGTGGTGGTGGTTTAAAACATGTTAGTACTATCTTCTTAACATGTTTTAAAACACCACTTACCAGCTAGTGGAGAGAAGTTTTAACACATTGACCTGATGCTCTTGCCCCACCCTCAAAGACATTATAGAACTAGTGATCAGTCACAGAATCCTGAGGTGGGCATGATGGGCTTCAAGAGCATTAGGTCTAGCATGAAACTAAAGAGACTCTGTGGTTGGCTAGGTATGTGGTTAGCTGTGATTAATATATATGCTACTTAATTTTGTTTTGTGCTCCCTGTTCTGTTGTCTCCAGCTCTTTGTTTCTAATCTTGACCATCACTTTTATGATTGTATAATGAAATTGTGGCTGAGGGTGTTGGACTATTATAGATGATTAAGACAGGAGCTATAGACCTCATGCTCAAGAACTTTGGAAGGAAGATTGTGAAGAAAATAGTTTAGAAGTGGTAAAGAGTGGAATCAACAGTTTGGTCTCTAACCAGGTCCTGGCTTAGTTACAGTTGCTGATGTGGCATACTCTACATACAGTACAACTCATTTTGTTTCTAATGTTGAGGTGTTTGTACAGTTTTTGACTAGTATGTTGCCTCCATTTCTTAGCTCCAACGACGCCATGAGCAAATGAAAAAGAACTTGGAGGCGCAGCACAAAGAATTAGAGGAAAAGCGCCGCCAGTTTGAGGATGAGAAAGCCAACTGGGAAACCCAACAACGTATTTTGGAACAACAGAATTCTTCCAGGTATGTAGAATTTTTTTTCTGAAGTTGTTTGTATCTTATGTTCCACATGTTCTGTAATGTTAATTGAGGAAAAATTGATCATTTAAATACCTCTCTGCACATCTTGATCCTTAAAACTTTGCTTGGCCTATTCAGAATAGTGAAATTATCACACTGCTTTATGATGTAAATGAGCATATTTTGGAAATGGGAAGAACTAACTTCCAGAACAGGCAGACACCGTTCAGCACTTGCTAAATAAAATTAAACCTCAATAGGTACCATTTGTCATTGTAGGAAAACTTTATTATAATTTGAAGGCTGATTTAATTATACTTATATTTCCTTGGATTTTATTTGAGGGATGGGTGGGAATTCAGACATGTAACTAACTGAAAGCCATCATCTGGAAGTAAGAGCATAATGACAAAATTATTGCTATGTGCATAATACACCAAGGAAAAGTCTTTCCTGTGTCTACACTAAGACCGTTGAAAACTATATTGTAAAAATACGTATAATAATTTGCTGAACTTTTTGTCCCTAAATGTTTTAATTTTAAAATGTTTTGTTTTCTTAGAACCTTGGAAAAAAACAAGAAGAAAGGGAAGATCTTTTAAATACATCTATTGACCACCAGTTATGTATTAGTTGCCAATATACCAGCCTGGACATCAGTGTTCGTTGGGTCCGTTTGACCAGTTTTGCACCAGTTGTATCCATAGCGATGGATTTAACAGCATGACAAATTTTTTGTTAATCTTGATGGAGATTGAAATGCCTTCAATTGTCTAGGATGTTGTGTACTTGGAATAATAACAGCTCTAAGTACTTTTTTCCTTTTTCTTTTTAAAACAAATGTCATTTTAACGCAAAAAAACATTTTACTGTTGTACAATCATGTTCTGGTGGTTTTTTTGTTTACAGGATATTCCAAAATACAAGGACTCTGGAAGGTTTTCAGTGAGGATAAATTGCCATAATATGATACAAACTATGCTTCTCTATTATAATACAAAATTCCATTCAGTGCAGCATATATAATAATGTAATTTAGTCTAACACAGTTGACCCTATTTTTTGACACTTCCATTGTTTGAAAATACACATGGAAAAACAAACTTATAGGCTTACAGTGCACCTAAAGCTTTTTATAACAACCCTTTTTTGTTTTTGATTCTTTAAATATATGCTATCCTCATTTAGTATCTTCTTTAGCCAGAAGAATTTCATTACTGCTTCATTTTTGTAATAACATTTAATTTAGATATTTTTCCATATATTGGCCCTGCTAAATAGAATATAGCTTCTTTCATATGGTAGGAACCAGTGAATAAATCTTTCCTTTAACTCCCTTTTTACATTTTATGGTAAGTAGCAGGAAAATGCATTTATAGGTCATTTTTAGGCAAAATTGTGGAGTTAACTACCAACCTGTTTCTACCTGTGTGCAGTCTGTCTTTCTTTTACTAGAAATGGGAATCATGGCCTCTTGAGAAGTCACCATTTTGCATTTAGCTGTATTCATATACTGCATTTCTGTATTTTTGTTTGTATTGTAAAAAGTCACATAATAAACAATGTTGTGATGTTAGCCTGCTGATGTGCTATATATGCTTTCAAGGAATTGCATAGGAAAGTACTTGCTCTGGGAAATATTTCAATTTAACCACACTTAAATAGAGAAATTTTCATTTACTTTGTTTATATATAAAGTTCCCAATTTACGGGGTGGACAAGTGTATTCAATCTGTGGATTTTTGACCTAAAAAGATTTCAAGTGACTGAGTACATGATTAACTGCTCTGTGAAATTGCAAATTAAAAATTTCTTACCCAGAAGAGGGTACCACATTTTCTTGCATTTTTTGCACTGTCCAAAATAGTAAGGAGTTCAGACACTTTCTGATATTTTCCCAGGGTTTAATTCTTTATGGTTATTAATGGTACTATGACATAGCTGCAGTCTCTGGGATTTCTCAACTGTTTATCAAAAATGTAAGTGAATCAAACTGAACTGGTTAGCCAGGCAGGTGGCATGTAGTTTGTAAAATGCTTGAATGTTACACAGAAGTGTGTACTAAGCTTTGTGTGTCATGATAGATGCAAAAAAATTGAAAGATTTTTGACTTCCAGAAAATAGAAATGGGAGCATATTTTCCAGATTATTCTACATTTCAGGGAACAGTTACCCAAAAGGACTTTTTAATAGGGGAAGAGAAGCCTAAAGAGTTTGCTTAACCAGAGATGTTACTGTGAAATGATTATAACCCGAGTTGGGATAAGAATTTTTACATTGTTAGCTGCAGTGCCTCACTCTTATTTTTTTGTGAAGACATTCTGACCATTGCTTTCCTTGCAACCAGAATGATCAGAAAACTCAGGACATACATTTTAGTATGAATTTGCAATTGATTTATTTACAACTGAACTTTTGCCTCACCTTTGACTTCCATATCTTTTTAAAAATGGACACGCCTAGCTCGCAATGAGACTGGCAAACCAATTTCCAGTTATTGTATTCATTTAATATATTTTTTTATTCATGGTCATTGCTTTTACAGAGGTCACTTGTATTATCCAGTAGTCACTTTGCCTTCTATTCCAGTTTGATTTTGCACAGGATTCCCCTTATGTTGGCTTCAGTGACAGGCACTCAGGCACACCCCGAACAAGGCTCAAGACTCCACCTGAATTTGACTTTCACTTTGAACATGCCACATATTTTCTTACAGTGTTAACATTCAGAATTCTGTTCTGCAAAATGTGTGTAGCTTTCCTTTAACAATCTGAATGCAAAGTCCCTTTATATTGTAACACACTGTGTATGGGACATGAGCCTTTTCTGATATTTGTGCCTTGCCAAAAAATTGAATAAACTGGATAGGACGACTAGCATCACATGTGACTATTGCTCGTAAAGCTAATAACTTGGACTTTCCATTCCATGGGAAATTCCCAACATTTGAACATTTCCATTTGTCCTAAATTTGCAGGAAATTATTTCCTTCCAAAGTGAAATTTGTGGAAAAAAATCGGAAATAATAAACTTAATTGAATGTGTTGTGTTGACTACATTATAAAGATGAAACAAAGCGCCTCGACCTGTCTAATCAGTGTTTTCCCAAAGGAATACTGTTCAACTAGAAAATTTTCACTCAGTTCTAATCGCTATATTTCCAAAAACATGTTGGATTAATACATGTCTAAACTTGTGCTGCAACTTTCCCAGAATGGGTTATGGTTTGACCAAAAGTTGGAGTTTCTAGTATGATACACCAGATGTTGTTTGCCTAACAGGAATAAATGTCTTCAATATTTAGCACTATAAGTGACTTTTCATTTAATATATTGTAATATTTTAATTAAATACATTTTACACCTGCTAGCAACTTCATGACAAGTAAATTCATCTAAAATTAAAGCAGCTTTTTTGGTTATTGATGTACTGTGATTTGGTTGTGACACTAGACATGCAGCTTTGCTGATTGGCAAAAGAAACATTCTCTGAAACAATATAAAGTATTTAGGAATTCTGAACAGTAACTGGCTTTCCATAATTTCTCCCATTCTTTATAAGTCATCAGATCCCATCAGTGGTTAAAGAGTTTGGCCTTGTATTCATTGTAAAACAACTTTTTAAAATTGTTTTCATTCAGATTGCTTTAATTGATTGACTTTAAAATCAATTAGCTTTAAAAGTGAAATAAGAGCTTCTAACCAGCCCTCTCCTAAACTGTTCAATATGGGAATCTTACTCAACATCTGACTAAATAAATCAAACTGGGGGAGGGAGGATGGAATTGTTACAATAAGCCGGTATTACATGTGACCAATTTTTTTTGCAATGATGACATGGCCTGAACTATTAACACTTTAAAACTAGATAAATTAGAAAAAGTCACTGATCTGTATCTGAGGATAACTCTATTACAAAACTGAGGTTCCCTCTACTTACTATCTTGATAAATTAAGCAGTCCAATATAGAATGTACAAGAGTTTGGTTATGCATCCTAGGTAACAGATTGCTCTGAAATTAAGTACATTTGAGATGTCACAGTAAACTTTCCTGCATCACATTTAGTCTACACTGTGGTCTTAGTGTAACACCTTTTAAAAATTAACAGCTTTCTAACATACCACTAGGTGATAGAAATTGGCGAAGTGTCTGAGATGTTTGTCCAATGTATAAACTACAGCCTATACTGGAACAGGATACCATACTCCAAGAGGCTCTGGGAGACAGACCCATTGTCTCCTATAGACAACCACCTAACCTCAAGATGATTCTTACCAACAACCACAGGACATACCACACTAATACCAAGCCTGGCACCTTCCCTTGCAACAAACCCCGTTGCCAGCTTTGTCCACATATTCATTCTGCTGATACCATTATTGGACCTAACCAAGTGAGTTATAAGATCAAGAACACATATTCCTGCGCATCCAGAAATATAATCTATGCTATCATGTGCCGAAAGTGTCCGTCTGCTATGTACATTGGACAAACATCTCAGACACTTCGCCAAAGGATTAATGCCCACAAAACAGATATCAGACAAGATCACAAAGAAAAAACAGTTTCTTGCCATTTCAACCAGAAAGGACACTGTCTGAACGACTTAACTACCTGCATCCTACTTCAAAAGCATTTTAAATCTGCACTCAAAAGGGAATCCTCTGAACTGTCATTCATGTTAAAATTCGACACTTACCACCAGGGACTTAACAAGTCTTTGAACTTTCTCACCCATTACCAAGACAGTTTCCCCAATTATCACCTGTAATACCATTAACTCACAAACATCCCACTCTCCCTACCTTTAATATCAGCAATTCACAGACACTTACCTTCCTTCCTCCCCCTTCCCACCCCCCCGCATCCCCCTTCTGTTCTGCAATGTGATTTGTCCTTTTCATATTTGTTCATTTTTTTAAATTGTATCCTTTGGTATATATGGTTGTGACTACTTTCTTCCACTAGGTGGTGAGTCTGGCTAATTCTCTGCTAAAACAGCAGAATCTGCTATCAGAATAGTTAAAGTAGTTTGGAAGAGTGCTCATACTTCCATACCTATATAAGAAGTCTATTAAACTGGGTCACCTGACAGTGAGTGAATGTTAAACCATGCTTATGCTGCATTCTCCTGGGCTAGGGAGGAGGTTTGTACTCTTATTCTAGGCAGTGAATCATCCATTTTCTCTCTCAGTTTTACAATGAATTTGCAATGATCTATTTCCCCCAAGAGGAGATTCTTGAAAAGTGTTCTTTTCCCACTGATGGCAGATGTGTAGTCTGTTCTGTTGGGAACAAAATAATCGATGAACTTCATTGTGAATGACTTGAAACTATTTTGCACACTGGCTATGTCTAGACTGGCATGATTTTCGGCAAATGCTTTTAACAGAAAAGTTTTCCGTTAAAAGCATTTGTGGCACGGATTGGCACGGACTGGCACGGACTAGATTGGCACGGACGCTTTTCCACAAAAGCACTTTTTATGCAAAACAAATCTGAGCTGTCTACACTGGCTCAAGCAGAGAGAGCAGGGGACACTGCCCCCCTAGTCTTTTAAAAGAAGAATGAACAGTTCTTCCCTGTTCATGTTTTTGTTTCTTCAACAGGGAAGAGTGGGCAGGTCTAAGACAAACATGCGGTAGGAAGTTGCTCAGGAAGGACAGACAGGGAAAAAAGGGAGGAGGGGTTGCCTTGTATATTAAAAATGTACACACTTGAACTGAAGTGGAGATGAATGTAGGAGATAGCTGTGTAGAGAGTCTCTGGGTTAAGCTAAAAGGGGTAAAAAACGAGGGTGATATCATGCTAGGAGTCTACTACAGGCCACCTAGCCAGGTGGAAGAGGTGGATGAGGCCTTTTTTAAACAATTAACAAAACTATCCAAAGCCCAAGATTTGGTGGTGATGGGAGACTTCAACTATCCAGACATATGTTGGGAAACTAACACAGCGAGGCACAGGCTATCCAATAAGTTTCTGGACTGCATTGGAGACAACTTTCTGTTTCAGAAGGTTGAAAAAGCTACCAGAGGAGAAGCTGTTCTGGATTTGGTTTTAACAAATAGGGAGGAACTAGTTGAGAACTTGAAAGTGGAAGACAGTATAGGGGACAGTGACCACGAAATAATAGAGTTCATGATCTTAAGGAAAGGTAGAAGGGAGACCAGCACAATTGAGCTAATGGATTTCAGGAAGGCAGATTTTGATAAGCTCAGAGAACTTGTAGGTAAGGTCCCATGGGAAGCAAGACTGAAGGGAAAAACAACTGAGGAGAGTTGGAAGTATTTCAAAGGGACGTTGTTAAGGGCCCAAAAGCAAACAATTCCGCTGTGTAGGAAAGATAGAAAATATGGCAAAAGACCAGCTTGGCTTAACAAGGAGATCTTGCACGATCTCAAAATAAAAAAGGAGTCATATAAAAAATGGAAACTAGGACAACTAACAAAGGATGAATATAGGCAAGCAACACGGGAATGCAGGGGCAAGATTAGAAAGGCAAAGGCACAAAATGAGATCAAACTAGCTACAGGCATAAAGGGAAACAAGAAGACCTTTTATAAATACATTAAAAGCAAGAGGAAGACCAAGGACAGGGTAGGCCCACTGCTTAGCGAGGAGGGAGAAGCAGTAACAGGGAACTTGGAAATGGCGGAGATGCTCAATGACTTCTTTGTTTCGGTCTTCACCGAGAAGTCTGGAGGTGTGCCTAACGTAGTGAATACAAGCAGAGAGAGGGTAAGTTTAGAAGATAGGATACACAAAGAACAAGTTAAAAATCACTTAGGAAAGTTAGATGTCAGCAAGTCACCAGGTCCTGATGAAATGCATCCCAGGATACTCAAGGAGCTGATAGAGGAGGTATCTGAGCCTTTAGCTATGATCTTTGAAAAATCATGGCAGACAGGGGAGATTCCAGAAGACTGGAAAAGGGCAAATATTGTGCCCATCTATAAAAAGGGGAATAAGAACAACCCAGGAAACTACAGACCGGTCAGTTTAACGTCTGTCCCAGGGAAGATAATGGAGCAGGTAATTAAGGAAATCATATGCAAACACTTGGAAGGTAATAAAGTGATAGGGAATAGCCAGCATGGGTTTGTGAAGAACAAGTCATGCCAAACTAATCTGATAGCTTTCTTTGATAAGATAACGAGCCTTGTGGATAAGGGAGAAGCGGTGGATGTCATATACCTAGACTTTAGTAAGGCATTTGATACGGTCTCGCATGATATTCTTATTGATAAACTAGGCAAATATAACTTAGATAGGGCCACGATAAGGTGGGTGCATAATTGGCTGGATAACCGTAGTCAGAGAGTTGTTGTTAACGGTTCTAAATCCTGCTGGAAAGGGATAACAAGTGGAGTTCCTCAAGGGTCTGTTTTGGGACCCATACTGTTCAACATCTTCATCAATGATGTAGATATTGGGATAGAGAGTACGCTTATTAAGTTTGCAGATGATACCAAACTGGGTGGGGTTGCAACTTCTTTGGAGGATAGGGACATAATTCAAAATGACCTTAGCAAGTTAGAGAAATGGTCAGAGGTAAACAGGATGAGGTTTAATAAAGAGAAATGCAAAGTGCTCCACTTAGGAAGGAACAATCAGTTCCATACATACAAGATGGGAAGCGACTGTCTAGGAAGGAGCATGGCAGAAAGGGATCTAGGGGTCATAGTGGACCACAAGTTGAATATGAGTCAACAGTGTGATGCTGTTGCAAAAAAAGCAAATATGATTCTAGGTTGTATCAACAGGTGTGTTGTAAGCAAAACTCGTGAAGTCATTCTGCCGCTCTACTCTGCACTAGTTAGGCCTCAGCTGGAGTACTGTGTCCAGTTCTGGGCGCCACATTTCAAGAAAGATGTGGAGAAATTGGAAAGGGTACAGAGAAGAGCAACAAGAATGATTAAAGGTTTAGAGAACATGACCTATGAAGCCAGGCTTCATGAACTGGGCTTGTTTAGTTTGGAAAAAAGAAGATTAAGGGGGGACATGATAGCGGTTTTCAAATATCTAAAAGGGTGTCACAAGGAGGAAGGAGAAAATTTGTTCCTCTTGGTTTCTGAGGACAGGACAAGGAGTAATGGGCTTAAAGTGCAGCAGGGGAGGTTTAGATTGGACATTAGGAAAAAATTCCTAACTGTCAGGGTGGTCAAATATTGGAATAAATTGCCAAGGGAGGTGCGATGCAGCCCTGTAGAGGTAGAGTTAATTGATGGCTTTTAAGCCCCAGGAAGACATTTCAAACCCAGTTGTGAGGTACCTTGTTTAAACTGAGGGAACACAGTACAGAACCAAT